TTATATACATATAATGTATAAAATTATTCAAATATAATTTGAATTATATTTCTTTGCAATGTAACCTCTGGTATCTCTTTGATACTGTTTTTTAGAAAGTATATCAAATTAACAAAAAAAATATCTGAAGATACTGTTAACATATACTGACAACTAAAAATTAACACCTCATATGAATTTCAAGTTGGGGAAGGAGGAGGAAGAAGAGAATACAGACTACAATTGAAAACAGGGATTAATTTCATTTAAAAAGAGCAATCACCATGCTTTTAGCCACAACATTTAGCAAGCTGAATAGCTCTTCCTCTCTTAACAGCTTGCAAAGGTGAGCAAATAAATGTAAGAGCTGACTGAGCCAACAGGCTGGAACACTCAGCTTCTCTCAGGCCAGGAAATGAGAAATGAAGTGTCCTTACTCCTTGTTTCCTGCATGCTCAATTACTCAAGAAAATACTTTCAAGTACAAAAATATAAAGCCCATCATGTTTTTAAGTACAATTTATTTTCAAAAATCTTGCATCTGAAATTCTGAAAGAAATAACTGTCTGCAATATCCACTGTAATAGGCTAAACAGTCAACAATTTTATCAGGTAAATGGATTCTCCTACCAAACAGGAAAGCCACGCTGCTTTCTTACCGTTGTCTCTGTTAATCCACCAACAGACACCGAGAGACCCAGAAGCACATAGTATTGGTATGCTGGCAAACCCAGCAGCTGGGTGATTCGAGGGAAAGCTTCTGATGCTGCATTCCAGTTCAGAGTCTCTTTCTCTGACCTGGAGAAAGGGGAAGGGAAAAAAAATCATCTTGTATGTGTGTACATTCCTATGATAGCTCCTTATCCTCAAGCACCATGTCAGTGAAGAAAGTCTCTGAATTACCTAAAAATCAAATTAATCATTGCTCTTTAAGCATATGGGGGAAACACAAATCAAAACTTCAGCCACTGCCAGTAAAGTAAAGCAACCTTCAAGACCTTGTTCTGACTCAGATAAGGGATTTGAACCACAGTTTCCTTTTCACATGCACTTTTCTCTACACTAAGAAAACAAGTTCTCCTTCTTGCTTTCCACTCCAAGTTTTCCCCCACCAACAACTAATGCAACGACAGACTTATCCCAGGAAAGATCCATCAGCAGCCTAGCAGACAGAGCACTTGTTGAGTTACAGGAGGTTAAGATTCTGATGAACAAACAATGGGGACATGAAGTTGGATCTTCCTCATCCCAATCAGGTATTATAATTATCATTCAGAAATGAGTAGCTTTCACTCTTGCTTTAACTAGAAATCCCATCTTAGAAAACTACTGCAACTACAGCTTAGTTAAAATAGAATTCAGTAAAAATTATTAATCAGTGTTTTCCAGTCGAGGAAATAAAAAAAAAAAAACCAAGAAGGGAAGCTGCCAAGAAATTCTAGCTCTCACATTATGGAGAGAAAATGAGATTATAATCCAGACATTTCATAAACAGGAGGATTACCAAAACTCAGCTCCCACAAGATCTGTTTTACCAATGGTTTCCCAACTATCTACGACTGACAAATCTCTACTGTCCACCATGACACTGGCTGATGGGTTCAAAAATTAACTGAGGTTGATCCAGAGAAAGACTGACAGAACGTGACCACATAAGACCTATCTCCTTCAGAAACTATGGTTTTCACATACACTCATTCCATAAGAAGTTCTATTTTATATGTTTATACATATTCATTGCATGCATCAATGGAATTTCAACAACCACCACCAAACATTCCTCAGCACATATAGTATGCATTCAGGCATGGAAATTACATCAGGTTGCTTGTGTTAGGTGTAACTGTGTGCATGGATCTTTTTATTTTCATTGGTTTAGGATACCTTCTTCAATATATTACCTTGGAAATATCCTCTCCAGCTCTTCTCGATGAGGTATGTGTGGAACTGGGGGACGGTCAAAATGTAAAAGAGTAAGGAACACTGATCCTGCATGAGCTCGAAATTTATCAATTTTTTCAGCTGACTGTTGGGCCAGCCAGCACATAATCTGTTTGCAGCTACAAAGAAGAAAACAATCACATAATTTAATCAGTGGAATGCGTATTTAAATTTAAATTGTTACACAGATATCAAAGATATCCTGCTACGAAAGTTTTAACTCTTCATAATGAATATACATCTGATATTAAGTCATCCACATGGTGACAGAATCTTTAAAGCTTTGTCTTCCATAGATCAATCAAAAAATGTAATGACATTAATATTACACAGTATTTGATATTCACAAACCACCTTTCATCAAAAAAGGTATGAAGCTGCTTTAAGGCTTGGATGATCTGTTACATTTTAGAGGGAAGCAGAGCAGGAACCTTGAGAGATGCGCATTTTCAAGTAGAAAATTGCATATACACCAGAGGACAAGACCTATCCCAAATCTTACATATCCCAAATTAATCACTTCTTCAACCCTGGCTAGTTTTTAACCATATTCTGTTTTGCTCACATTCATAACTGTACTCTCAGCAACAAAATACTGTGTTCCATGAGGCCCTTGGTACATAAACCAACACCATGATTAGGAAAGTTTTGTTGCAGAGGAAATTATGCTTAAAAACTAGTAAGTATTCTTTTTTCTTTACTATTAGGAATATTGTATCATGAAATTAAAAATCAGAAGCTCAGTGTAAATTATGTTTTCTCTATCTCCTCACTAACAATTCTGCAAAGATGACAGAAATGAACACAAACTCATCTTCACATTTTGTCACATTCCAAATTAATGATGCAATGCTCTGGATAAACAGAAAGCAAACTTGCCCACTTAAGTGAACAATACTGGCAAGCTCCACAGAGATGGCAAGCACAGACCAAATCTCACAGATGCACAGTATTTCAAAGGTGGGAGGGCCACCCTGTTTCTCTCAATGATGTTAGTTCCTCTGAAAAACAGATACAATATTCTCAGCATCTGTACAGGTACAAGCTTGATGCACTTCTAGGAAAAGTTCTGTCACACTCAATAAAGGAGTAAGTACACAGTGCGTAAGCATTGCTTTCTTGCATGGACTGGAATGTAATCACAAGAGGTAAGACACAAAAGTAGTACAAGTGGCATACATGTTGGCATTAATTAACTCCGCTTCATTCTGAACCAGCAGAAGTGTCACTTCCATTAAACTTGTCATAGCAGCCTCACGGACCCTGTTGAAACAGACACACATTACAGTAGTTACATCAGTATTTATTTAAAAACATACATTGGCAGCTAAGTTAAACAGACACTGGCAAAAAATTCAAAACAAAAGTGTTGACCCCTGAGAGCAGCTGTCATCCTTTTGGGAGGAAAGGAACTGCGTACAGCTGTGCCCACAAGCCCTGTTCTACGAAGTGAAGCTCACATTTGCACCGAGGTTCCAACAATTGTCCTCGTTTCCAGGCAAGACCCCTGCCTCACCATCTTATTTTTTTATTCCAGCCAGACATTGTCAGGCTTATTCTTTATTTTAAGAAGGTTAAAATTGGTAACTATTACTAATATTTAGCGTGCAAGTAGATGAATTTAAACCCAAGTACTTTGTCTGCTTCAAATAATCTTCTAAAAAGGCCAACCCACAATTTGGCAAGATATCTAAGCACTGTTAAGTGTCATACTCTCGTAAATTTTCAAGCTTAGTACTTCCAGTATTGAATAAAGGTGATTCAGAATGGCATAAGTAAATAATAATTAGTTTTATGAAAAAAGATTACCTAAAGTAACAGTAGTTTGTGCTTGAAGTGCATATTACCTATATGATTATTTTCTGCCTTCAAAAATGTCTAAATATAGTATCAATATAAAAGAAAGATGAAGAGTATAATTTCACTAAAAAAACCCCAAAATCAATACGCTTGTTTTAAACCACATGCTTGTCAATACATGAGTTGACAGAAGTAGTTTCTTAAGATATGGACAGCGCCATGGCAGATCCTCTGCTGGTTACATGATCCTGCAGAAGACCAGGACTAACACATTCATCACATTACTCACTCATATATATCTCGACATATTTGAAAAGGTCCTTGGCTACTATGAAAAGACATACTCCTGTTTCTAATTTCCAAAACATGCTGAAAATAGTTGCCCAAGCAATCTAAAACTGGGTGGGACATTTGTTATAATGGTGAAAAAGGTAAATTACATCATGTTTTTCTAAGCAATTTAATACCAGTTGGGTGATCTTTCATCAAAGGATGTTTTCCTACTTTTTTCCATATAGTGTCTGAGTATTAGATATTCATGTTTAACACCTGTAGACAGATTGGACAAGTCCCAGCAAACAATCTGTCAAAAGAAACAAAGTTTGCATATGGAAACTAAAGTTGGTTTAACTTTCCCACGATTCCATTAAAGAAAGACAAAAATTACACACCAAAGAAAAGACCTCTCCACAGAAGTGGCAATTCTCCCCATATCTTTCCATCTTAGTGGTTTAAAAGAAATAGAATGAGAAAGCAGTAATGTTTGGAAGACCACAAAAGTATTTAGCAGCCAACAGTTTGCTATGAGAAAGGATTCCCCTCCCCCATTTAATTTACTTGTTTCTTGACTTGATTTTGGCTGGCATTGCCAAAGCAGCTTTAAAAGAATCTGATGCTCGAAGCACATTTGAATTTTAACGGGCGTTGGAAATCCAATTTCCTCAGGATTTCTTTGAAAATTTTCACTTTGTAGAGTTTTGTTTTTAAATTAAGACATAGGCAGAAGGATAAAAAATAGGTAAGGGAAACTTCAGTTAGAGTTGCCAGAAGTTAACCTGAGTATCTAACTATACTTAGCCAAGTTCTTATCTACTTTGGTATCTCACCTAATTTTGAAAGCAAAAAGCTCAGTGTCTCATCCTGACTCTGACTCCCACCCTATATGATTGTTCTTATATTTTCTTTCAGCTACACCTGTGTCACTCCTGTGTTACCACATTCTCTGAGCAAGACTCATTCACCTCCCCATTGCTTCTTCGATGGCTGAGGAGGGAGCATAGGGAAAGCCAGGCTCCTTCATCCCTTGAGCAAGCTGGAATGACCTGATCTTGATCCTGCTTAGTTTGCAGCCTTGTTTCTTCTTCTAAGTTTGAGATGTCAAACATGCCTACTTTTCTCTGATTTCGTGTGCTGTGTTATTATTTCCCCGTCATATGACAATTTTAAGAACCAGTGCTGAAGACTGAGGAGCTGGGTATCATCATACAAACCAAAAAAAATACCAACACACAAATATTAGCTCAGGCTGATAAGAGTGGTCTGGATAATTTGTCCTGTGTACTTTTCCAACACACTTGTAAGTATTGTAGTGCCATTCCCCAAAGGAACAAGGCTAGTCAAATTTTTAAAATGCCCAACATTAACATGGCACAAAAAAACCCCAACCTTTGTTTGACCTTGTGCTGTAGAACTTCTACTTCCCTTTCAGTTCACAGACAGACTAATAATAAATAACTCGGTAGAGCACAAGCATTAAGTTTGACAGCAGTATAAACTACCTAATGATTACTGGCAATGAAAAACATATATACATATTGCACAAAAAAAGCAGTCACAACTTTTCTTTCTACATAGGACAATAGTTGGTTACAAGATGTGTTAAAAGGAGCTCCCATTCCTCATCGTAATTAAATGTACTTTGCAGCACCTGCCCCTGTGTTCGAGCTATCTAATAAGCAATCCTAAAGAGGAGAATGCCACTATAATTAACGGGTTTTGGGTTTGTTTTTTTAAAGCAAACCTGGGGCTACCAAATAGAACAACAACCCTGAAGCCAAGAGTGAGTAGGACAGAAATCTAAAACAGAAATAACCAGAAATTTGACCCTAAACAAAAAGTTCCCAAACTCACACAATGCATACTTGGCATCATGAGTTATTATGCCGGATTTGAACAGGGATCAGCATGCTGTGCATGGCTGCTCAGGCTGAACACAGCCAATGCTCCAGAACTGGACTGTTTTGCTTGCAGCAGAAAGGAGGGAGCAAGCAAGCGACTGAGACTGCTTTGGCCACAAAAAGAAGTACGATGAGCAAGGAGGAGTGCACACCCTCCCCTGCAAGGTACAGCGCACTTCTTGCCCACTGCAGCCTTCCCAAGTCTTCAGTGTTACTGAAGGAGCACAGAACATTGAGATGAATGAAATCTTACATACAGAGTCTTCTTTATATATTACAGGAACTGTGAAGACTGAAGAACACCACAAAAATATGACTGCTACAGACCTAATCTTGTACCTATTCTATAGACTTCAAAATAATAGATACATTCCTACAGACTTATGATTTAATTATTCTTGCAATCTAATAGCTGAAATAATTGAAAGTCTAAACTAACAAAAGAATCAATAATACCACAGCACAATTTATAAAGTTTTATCCACCTCAGTTAGTTACCAGCCTATAAAATTCATCACTGACACCTTATGCAACTGCTCCCTCTCCTGGCAAAAAATCCCCACAACATGAACATACAATAGGATAATTCACTGAGTAGCACTAAATGTATTATTTCTAAGAAATAGAAGTCATGGCTTAAATCTCCGTACTTTTTACAAATAAATACATTCTTGATGTTCACTAAGATAAAAGAATGTCATCCACAAAACCAGAATAAGGCTGAACTTCAGTTTAAAACACAACAGTTCCCATCTTCCTGACTTTGGAGGCAAGGAATTAATTCTTGTCAGCCTTTCCTTTCACTTTCTACTCCTTTTTCTCCAGTGTATTTCTACCTACACTCAAATCTCCAAAAGCTTCAAGCGATCTATTTCTAACAGGTTTTAAAAAGACGTAAGTTTTCAATTAGACAGAAAATTCAACAGCTAAGTTTAAGTCTCTGTTTGTAAGGCATCTTACCATCCTCCAACATCTCCTCGGCTGTCTGTGGTGTAGTCAGTCACACCATTAAGTAGTGTAGCATAAATCTGAGTAACGTTATCGTTGCAGACGTATTCTTCTTGGGATCCTTCTCCCTTTACACCTACTGTCTGGCAAACCCTTTAAAAAAAAGAAAAAGGAGAGGGTGGGGGAGATGGAATACCACACTAGCAAGGAAAAACATTAAGATCACAGCTTTATTCTGTTGCTTGATAAAATTCCTCGGACATACATTATTCTAAACATCCATAGCATCTGCTACAAACAGTACAAAGAACATTTCTGAGCCTACTGCATCTTATTTGACCTGAGGATTTCTGATCAGTGTTCAGGTTTAAAGGAACACTGGCAAGGCAAAAAGCTCAACAGATAAAGCAGACTGTTTCTACGTCTTTAATACTACAGAAAGGAACATGTTTAAAGTACCTGTCAGATTCTAAATTCTCCTTAAAATGAGGTAGTCAAGAAGAGCAAAGGACTAATACAACCTGCATTGAATTTGGTATCAATAAACTTTACACTGAAGGCATGGTTAACATGAGAAAGATATTTTCTTTTTTTGTATTAGAGCATACATACTATGATATTATGAACACTAACTACACTGTGGCATGTCAACACAGAAAATATTCCTCTAGAGAAAAAGTACAATATCTTTACACCAATTCAATCTTCTTATTAAGAAACTGGAAAAAACATACATTCTTCCTCCTCACTAAAATGCAGCCATAAGAAAGGCAAACTTTAAAATATACTCTATTCAGTTAATTTATTTTAAAAGAAGAAACACAACACCATCAGAGTTGTACCCCATCCTCAAAGGAGTGATAATCCTCTGAATCAAAGATATATTAAATAATGGAGATGCACAGTCCCACACTAAAAATGCGTAAGTCAGTGTAACTGATTTCAAGAAACACACTATAGCAGAAAGCAGAATGAACAGCAGAAAACCTCTAGAGAAAGAATTAAAATTAAACAAAACTAAAGATTAACGTACTTTGCAATTGCTATTAGGGCATCTCTTCTGGATTCTGCAAAGCTCACATCTGCAGAGGAAATTAAGGTAACTTTCTTCAAACCCTCCAAAACCTGTAAAAATATTAAAAAATTACAAATTTAAATCAGTGCATTATTTATGATAAAAGTTAAATGTAGCTATCATATTAAAATGAGCTCAACCATGTACAAGAGAACCAAGCAGTGTTTGACTTCTTTCCAGGTCATGGCTTCTCATCATGACCTCAGCTTGCCTCACTTTTCCCTTTAGACAAGTGTTTCATAGCATAGGGATAATTCAATCTCTGACTTCTCCATTAGCACTACTAAAGCAGGACTAAACTTTAATTATCAGAATCTATGGCAAGCTGAACTCATGATGATTTTCTGGAGCTACTGTATATTACAGTCCAAACCCTTTTCACAAAGACCTTTAATTATGACCATTATTATTTATTTGGTTGTGACCATAGGTTTCATTCAAAATACCATGTGCCCTCTTCTCATTACAACAACCATATTTTCTCACCTGTTGGAGCCTGCCCTTTAGTAGAAATCTTGGAAGGGCCCCAAGAGCTCGTGAAAAGCCACAACGAATCATTTCCTCTGTGTTTTGTAGTTCTGAAACGTATTGTGTCACCAGCTCATCTAGAAAAAATACAATGCAGAGTGAAAAGCAACTACCACATTATTACCATTATCATTACATATTTGGCTAACAAACAAACCCCCCCCCAAAACAACCAGCAACTAAAGAAAGGAAAAGATACCCTAAACAGAGCAGCTAGAAAATTTTGTAATTCATTAAACTAAAATACAGAATACCTTTAATTTACTGCAGAAAAAAGAGAAAGAGTTTAAGATACTCAACATCACCTGAATGAATGTTTTCTAAATACAAAGTCAGATTTTTAGCCAGACTAATTCTAGTCATTCAGAGAGCGAAAATACAAAGTTCTCAATTTTAAAAAGCTGTATTTTGTCAAAAGTCCAAAGAATAAGTATAAGCACAAATTCCTATGCAAAAACAGGGGTACAACTTCTCTTATATTAACAGGTCATCATTTTCCATAATTAGACAAGTATTCTGTGTTAGGAAAGAAATGTCTCTCGATTTGTGTAGGTCAGTTTTTCAACAGTTTTCTCCCAGAAAAGTCTTAATTGGACTCAGGGTTTAAACACAGATCATACCTAAGCAATGACCTAATTTCCTATCAGTTTTTTAGATTGAGACAAAAAGAAAAAAAGTTGGGCTTTTCTGCAGAACACTCAAAAAGATGAGATCACTTTGAAGCAGGGATTCTCTGCTCGGATTCTGAGCATTCTTACACGACAAACCAGGGACAGTGGTTCTACGAACAGCAGCACAGACAAAAGGAACAAGAGCAAACCGAACTGGGCATGAAAACAGGAGGCTCAACAAGTGATACGAAAAAGAAAATGAGGATGAATGAAGAAAAGAAAAACGTCAGGAATCTATCCACATATTTCTATTGTAGCCTTTATCACAGACTTAACAAACAGTACTTCCTTTACCGGATTTTTCAGCTACTATATTAAACTCTCCTGTAAAATGTGGAAAAAAACAAGGCACTCCAGAAAAGCTTCCAAGAACAACCAAGAGAGCTGCAATAAACACAAGCTCTGGTTCAAAAAGAAGAAAGGTGGTCTTATTAATCACTTTACTGAATATGCACTTTTTGATTCTCAGCGAAAAAGAATGAGAAACCTTACCAAGATTACATAATTTTGCCACTGCCTACTGCCATCTAAGATTTAAATGATTAACATTTGCTAGAGGAAGAAAGGATAGTCACCATAAGAAACTACACATTAATCATAACTCGTGACCTTTTTTTTTTAAAGCCCCATGCAATCGGCAGGCCTCAACTAGCTCCTCACATCAGGGTACTAGTTCCCTGTCCAGAGGTTAGCAATACTTTCGTATAAGCACATCTATTATTCAAAAATTTCCAAACCACTGGAGTGTAAGATAGAGTCTTGAGGCCATAAGAAGATGTAATGCTTGCTTAGACAGCAAGATGATCTCAGACAGTAAAACTATGACACTCTTCCCTTTGACTGATGTAAATTTAAGATTGACATTTTAGCCAAATGACATAAAATTAAGACATGACAACTTGCAAACAAGCAGCTCTTTACTTGTAACTACTCTGTAATTATGCGAGCGAGGGTCATGAAAATGTTAATATTCTAAGACTCTTCAGCTTCATAGAACATGGCCTATGAAGCATCTACAATATTAATTCAATACAACCCATCCTGAAAGAATATTAAAAGAATATTAAAAGAAAAAGTCATCAAAATCAAACCAGAACACTCTAAGACAGAAAAAATCAAAGAAAAGATGAAAACAAACAGAGGCCAGAGAAGTGACTCAGTAAAACTGCAGTCTTACAGGGACAGCTTTGGAATGCCAAATCCCTAAAGTACCTTTGATTTGCATTTTCATTTTAATCTCACAAGTCTTAGTGAAACACTGGCTAAATGTCACCAAATTTTTTTTCTAATCCCCTTGATCGTGTTTAGACTTGCTTTAACTGGCTTATCTCAGGCACTTGCATCGTCATTGAACGTCTTCTGCACTACAACTTCCACACATGCATGCACACATTAGACATTATGGAGAGGATTTTTAGCACTGGATTTCAATCCCACAACAAATAGATTTCAATGGTCATGAAATGGTTTTTACTGGCACAGAGATGAAAATACACTTATTTTTTCCTTTTAAAAGATGCTTGCATGTATAATGGCACTTTTGCTACTATGTGTGGAGGAGGCTTTAGAGTACAAAGCCAAATAAAAGCACGACCAAGACGAAGCTGACTAGAGATTTTTTAAGAACAGGAAAATTTCCGACTCACAATTCCATTCTCTAAATCATTCCAGAAAGTCTGATGAAAAATTTTGCCTGTAGCTACAAATCTGACTCCAATTATGTCCCTAGACCATCATGGCGACATCTCCATGATTCCTTCAAGCACAAGCCAGATGAAAAATTCTTGCTATCCTTCTTCTCTTATCCTTAATCCATTCTTCTTCTTTAAGTCAGCCACAATCTTTGGCACAGTTTATCAAAATATGATGTGAAGATGTCTCACTTCATTAAAACTTAGAATCTGCCACAAACACATATTCCTTCTCTCTTTTACAGCATCTGATTTTCCTAACGTTCATTATTATGATACCTTGTATTCACCTCCAGTTTAAAACAAGCAAAGCCCCTGAGACATTTCCTAGACTTTCAATTGGTTTTACCATTGTTTCCTGAAGTATTTTAAGGCCCTTAAAAATCAGTGGTGCTCCTCCCCATTCTATCCAGTACCTCCAAAGTGCAAGTTAGGTCCAGCCCAATATTTTCTGCCTCTACTGTAAACATGAGTCATTACCCTGTAGAGCTGGATCAGCTTCTCCCTTCTCATTGATGTAATATTCATTACACAGTGCAGCCAGTGCAGAGACTGCAGACTCCTGTAACAAAGACAAAACTGTGAACCTGATATATTTATTAGGGTCATACTTTATGATAACTCTACTTAGAATTAAAAGGTTAAGGAAAAAGAGAGGATTTTAGAAAAAAATTCCCTTCAGCTACTGACATTTACTTTCTTTTTCTTTCTTCCCAACACTGATTTAAGAACAATTGAACAGGAAACATACGTAAGAAAAAACACAGAATTTATTCTTATTCCTTCAAAAGTATCAGTAAGTTAAATTAATATTTAAGATATTAATAGTAATGTATCAACTGATCTGAAAATAAAGTTGAAAGACCTCCAGGATGACACAGTATTACAAAATAGAGAAGTCTTTATTTCATCTTCAATATTTTGATGTCAGATTGATAAGAAACAAACCATTATTTCCCCAGAAGGCTATAGAAAGGAAACACAGACCAAAAAAACAGACTGATGGTTATAAACAAAAACCCCAAAATATCCAGTATCACGATCCTTGTGTCTCAAATCTTAACTGGTTTAGAGTATTTCAGGAATTCTAATTTTTTTAAAAAAATAATTCTTCTTATCTATCTAAGAAACAAATGTTCAAGAACCAATTCGATTATTATCCACGGAAAATAATCCACCAGTGGAAAGCAAAAATATTTCTAATTCTGTATTTAATGTGACCACATGAAGAAGGAGGAACTATTGTACCTTTATATGCTGTCTTGCAGCACTTGAAACAAGAGGGAGACTTCTTAGACTGTCATTTATTAGCCATTGCCAGCCACCTGAAATAGTAAGGAACATAACTGATATTAATTTTTCTTTCTTTCTGAATTTCAACATTCTCTGGTTTATTTTTTTTACAAAAAACAGTACTTATACATATTGATGTATTTCTTTGGTTTTCCAAAATGAAGAAGGTTGTGATTCACCATTAGTATAGCTATTCTGGTTTGTCTTACAATGCACATAGTGCAAACACAGCGTCTGATAAAGCGGAAAACTTGACAGGAAAAAAAACATATTCATAACCAAGTACAAAACAAATCTTCAAATAACATCACCCCCTGTTGCAGTATTTGTGTATCTTTTTGATATTTTTTTATTTGTTGGGCCACTCAACCTTGCTAATCTTGCTACTTTGAAAAACATAATTCATTATGACTTTATCTTAATGAATGACTACTAAGATAATGGAAGAATATTTAAAACATGACATACCGATTATTGGATCTCCTCTAAATGGCATTTTTGATAGTGACAACTTTTCAATTAAAGTGCAGACTGTAAGAAAATAAATTCGATAAAAAATGAGGAATTGCAGCAATTTTGAGGATACAATCACATCAAGTTACATTAGCATTAATTTTAAATTGAAGAAAATTTGCAAATACAAGTAAAAAATTATGTGAAATTAGAAACTAAAGGGAAATTACACATGTGATTCGCACATACTAAAAAAGCTGCTATGCAGTAACTGTTGTCTGACATGAGTTAATCCCATCATTCACACAAACCCATTGCTTGGTGGTACATTCCTCCCCTTCTGCCATTTAAGGTGCATGTGTATTTACCAGCCACCTTTACGTTTCTATACCAGTCTGTAAACGGCTATGTAGTAATCATTGATAGAAGACTAACTCGGACAAGGATAATACTACAGTCACTAAAAAAACTATTTAAATATATATGAAAGGTCTTCCTACTTATTAGCATTTTTTGGACCTTCAAGGAGTGGCATCTGTTCACTGCACAGAGTTAGGAGCTGTAAAACTGGATGCAGTTTTATTTCCTTTGACACTCAGAATATGAGAAAGTGCAATTTTAATGTGTTTCAGCGGTGTTTTGGGGAATAGAGATTAACAGAGTAAACACTGTAAACTTTTACTATACAACAGAATTACTGCATTGCTCTAATGACAACTCAGCACTTAGGGAATACAATAACTTTCACCTCCTGGTGATTAGTTCAAAGAAAACAGACTGGTATTCATTCATACTCACTATCTGACTGCTTCAGAGTTGGTGGAGGGTTGGTGGAGAGGAGGGAGAGGACAGAACAAGCCACTATATAATGCTACTTCTTGTTTTCCTCTCCTCCCACAACTTAATCTTTGAATGTCACTCCAGGCTCTGAATACAGTTCATCTTCTTGATTTATACTCAGCTTCCTGGGCTCCAAACCCACTCCTGAATTCAGTCCTCACTATGGTAATGTCACACAGTCAGGCTGTCTGTGCTCAAACTCCATTTAATATTGTACGTCAGCTTCTTCGTTATAATATTTATTCCCAGACAAGGTTAAGTACAATGTGACTAAACTCAAGTCTCTAGGGTTCCTCCTTAGTTCTTTTTGCTTCTTTACACTCTATTGTGGTTGAGACCATCAGATTCATTAGACATGCAAGCAACTTGTGGAACATTTTCAACTCTCTTATTCCACCTACACAGTTGCATCATGCCAAAATACTGCCACGTGTACTTCTCCAATACTATGAAATATTCAGCTGCTTAAAAGCCTGAACATATTACAAAAAACTACCTATTCTTTCAGCCTGCTTTGTCATGTCACAAGACTATAACCTCATTCAAAGACTGCAGAAACCTCCTTGTCTCCTTCACTCCACCTATTTGATCACATTTGATACTGAAACTCCTTTACCCACTAAGTTTACATGGCTTCACATCTTCAAAGCTGGAATCTGCCACAAAGCACTTCCTTCATTCAACCCATGAGCAGGAAACTCAAGTAGGCATTGTTTCCTTATCCACCCAAACTACCTGGATGGATACTTTTTCTGCAATGTCCTTCGTTTTTATAGTGGTTCTGTATATAACAATCTTCAAAATCCATGTGAACAACCCATCATGTTTCCTGTGATACAAACCTTTCAACAAACTGTTGTTTTTATGGTCTTTATTCTTCACATTTGTACACATACATATCATGGTAAAGTCATTAGTTACGTGATGGCATCTGTCTTAATGATCACCTCTCTTCTAGAGAGGAAACTGAGTAAATCAATGAGGAAAGCCAATTCAACCCTGAAGAAAGTTCACTGTGTAGCACAACAGGAGGAGATACGTGCCCTTGCGGCCAAGAAGGCCAACGGCATCCTGGGGTGTATCAGAAGGGGTGGTTGTAGGTCAGAGAGGTTCTCCTTCCCCTCTACTCTGCCCTGGTGAGACCGCATCTGGAATATTGTGTTCAGTTCTGGGCCCCTCAGGTCAAGAAGGACAGGGAATTGCTTGAAAGAGTCCAGCGCAGAGCCACAAAGATGATGGAGGGAGTGGAGCACCTCCATTATGGGAGCAGCTGAGGGAGCTGGGTCTCTTTAGCTTGGAGAAGAGGACACCAAGGGGTGACCTTGTTAATGTTTATAATTTGTAAAGGGCAAGTCAGGAGGAAGGAGCCAGGCTCTGCTCTGTGATGTCCAATGACAGGACAAGGGGCAATGGGTGCAAGCTGGAGCACAGGAGGTTCAATCTGAATATGAGGAAAAACTTTTTTACTGTATGAGTTACAGAGCCCTGGAACAGGCTGTCCAGAGAGGTTGTGGAGTCTCCTTCTCTGCAGACATTCAAAACCCGCCTGGACGCGTTCCTCTGCAACCTCGTCTAGGTGATCCTGCTCTGGCAGGGGGGTTGGTCTGGATGATCTTTTGAGGTCCCTTTCAACTCCTAAGATTCTGTGATATGTGTGACATAAAATCAAGAACTATCTCCAACTCTTACACAAACAGGGTTACTCACAAGTGTGCTGGCAACAAATGATCTGGTGTACTTGTATTCTGATTGGCTTTCAAACTTTGTATTTTTTTAATTACTTTTCATACTTTATTCATGCAGTCAATACAATGTATGCAAAACAAACTGGAAAAAGGTAAACAGAATAATTCAGTACTACACATTTTCTGCTTTCTCACCACAGCTGTGATACTTACCAGCTGGTCTCATCAGTTCTCCACCTAGGCCCCTGCAAAGCACAAACAGAGCCTTCAGAGAATAACCTACCACAAACAATCTGAGTACACTGCATAGCAATTAAAAAAATACTCAAAATATTTTAGAGTTAAAGCAGTTCACAAAATACCTGCATTTCTGTATTTGATCAACTCTAAAAAACCGCTTCTTTTAAAAACAATTGTTGTCTTGATTTCCGCATGACTTATACAAAACCTTCCTGAGTATTTAACTTTCTTCTTGCAAAGACTGTGGTCCCAATATTTCTAATTTTTAATGTGAATAATAAGACTGTCAAGTTGATTCTGCTTTTCTTTTTACTTCGTTCAGAAGCATTCCAAACCCGTGGGATTTGCCGCAGGGCTCTTCAGTCACATGGGCCTTATATGAGACTTTCACAACTGAAAAGCAATTACATGCTATGTTTTAACAAAATCTTCGTTTCTGGTACATTAAATAGAAACTTCACTTCTTAGTTCCCATTTTCACAGATGTGAACTGGTTTGCCAGCCAAGTTTCTCACCTTTCTCTCTTCACCCTCTCATTCCTTGCTGAAGCCCCCTCACAGGTACACTCATCACCACAAGAGAAAGAAATGGCACAGGATGCTTCAGCCCCTGTTGAAGATGTGTTGCATAAAGACAGTCTCACCATCTCAGGCCTATCCAGTGCAGTTATCCATCCAAGCATTAGCCTGGCCACTGTCAGGCCACTGTCTCCTCCTTTCTCACTGGAGGAGAAAGTTTTAACTGGGCAGAAAGTGGGGAGAGGAATCCTTGAAATGGTGGGGCCTATTTCCATTCTTTAGCCTCACATGTCTCTGGGCAGAGAGACATCTCTTCACACCACTGAGCAATGTCTGCTGGTTCCATAGATATCCTCAAGGTGCTGTGAGCACTGCTTGGGGTGTTCTGCTCTGTGTCACCCTCTGTAGCATAGTTTTTCCATTTTCTGAACCTTTGACCCCTGCCCTTCCTTTGGCTATTTCCTCTGTCAGCTCCTTACTCTCATCTCCCTTCACTTCTGGAATATTTCCTCCCTGAGGTGTGCCAAATCCTTAATCACCTGTCTGTATGGCCATGCTCTGGCAAAAACTCCCCATAACAAGGGGGAGGAACAACAAAGGCTTTTTTGTTTATTTGCTTGAGTTTGTTGGGGTTTTTTGTAAAAACCTTTTCTTCCCTCCTGTCCTCCTCCCTCTCTACAGTAAAATTAGTAGCTGTGCTCAGAAGGCAAACTTAGCAACCCTAGCAACTCTTAGAACTTTGTCCTCCACTTTATCCTTTTATATGAACTTCAAAAGCCTAAACATTTTAAACAAGTCTTTCCATTCCATACAAGTAGGTGCCTCCTGTAACATGCACTGGGTTTCTGACTGCTCAACATTTTCACTAGTTTTTCAGGTAATGCAGACACCAACTCCACAATATTCTCATTTGCCACAGATCAGCCCTTCCTTTAACTGGGAAACTCCAGCTTTTGACAATCAATATATTAAGCTCAATGTAATAATCCACAGCTCAGTTTTATCATCATAGGAAACAAGCACAGATTCCAGATCCCCATGCTGAGAAGGTCTTTGCATTATCTACCCCACCTTCCTGCCATGTTGCCGTCTCTCCAGCTTCTAGAAAATTTAAATTAGAAAACAAAGAAGTAATGCAAGGAGTCGAGACAGCACCAGAAGTAGAAGAATGCTGTGGCAAGGCTTGCTTCCTCTTTGTTTCGTTTTCCTTCATTTTGTCCTCACCCATTCCTTGCCTTTTGTCTGTTGTCTTACTGCAAATGAGTATAAAATGATGATCCGGTAAATTCGTTTGGTGTGCTACAGAGTCTGCTGATGCAAGGATTCAGATATGGACTTCTGTTCAAACTACAAAGCAAGAACTGAGTCATAAAGGCTGCTCTTCTCCACTTCTTCACACTGCCAATAAGGAAGTCAGGCCACTGAAAGCTACTCTTATGTTAATAACTTGACAGCTATCCCTTCCTTTGGCATTACATCAACTCAATTTAATTTCAGTTTAGAGCTTCACTGAGGATCGTTGTCCCTGTGCAAGAATGAAGAATGGTGACAGTGATTTGCACAGCAAGATTTCCAAGTAATGTGAAAACTATAATCAAAGCTACCTGCGATACCATGTGTTCTTCTCTGCATAACTTTTCAAGTTATTTCTTGCCTAGACATCACAGTATGTCCACCAATATATCTAGATTTTTTCCCCCTTTTCACAGCTCATACATATTTCCATTTTAAGAATGGAGAATTCTATCATAACCCTAGATCTTTCCTCAGACAGTGTTTAGTTTGTCAGACATGATGCGCATCTTTCTATTAACTTTATCTTGCTCTGCAGTATTTCTCTAAATTAAAAAGATACCCATCTACCTAATTCAGAGATCATGAATTTTGCTGTACAGTCAGTATTCTCTCTTTTTTCTTACAAAGACACATCCACAAGTTGCATCACATTATTAGATGTACCTGTTTCAGAGTTTAATTATTAATTAAATTTGTAAATTGACTGATGCAATTCCAGGTTCCATGAGGTCCTAAGCGCTCCTTCCTGTGTGCAGTTCCACAGCAATGCTTCTCTCCTAGAAACACCTTGGGATGACTCACAATTTATTTGTGGAAAATATAATCAAAGTGTATATTCCCTTGTAGAACTGATGAATTAAAATTACTGACCTAAGAATGCTCCTACCTATTTTTAAATTATGTAGGCCTGAACCAGAACCAATGACAGCGCTGTTTTCAGTTCATATAGTAGTTCAAAATACTTTTGTGGTTATTTTAAAAAATTATTTAAAACCTGCTTTTTGTGAGAAGTTCAGAATTCATCTTTAAGATTATAAAAGTAACAGTAACTCAAGCTGTTTAGAACTGAATAGCATCTACGTTTTCATAAACATCTGAATCTGAAGTTAAAACTACTTGAATGGTTGAAGAGAGTCAGCTGCAAATACTCAACTGCCAGGAAGCTAAGAACACTTCCCAAATAAGTATTTTTATCTCTGTAGGAATAGTAACCCATTATTTTGCATGAGAACTCTTTATCCCAAATAGAACTGAGGTATCTTAGAAGGTCCAGGTTGCACACTTACTGGGCTCTGGAAGTACAAACTGGCTTTATCACAAGGTACACCGACGAGGAAAGAGAGACCTCTGAGCACAGATAAAAACACTGTGTATTTAATAAAGCTCTTATGGTCACCCCTTGAAGATGCAGAGAATAAACTGCAGGTGAAATCCTGGCATTATGGAAGGAAGTAAGAGTTTTCCCAGCGACTTCAGTTAGTAGCAAAAGAGTTTCACCTTCAAAACATAGTATAGCTTGCTCTCCTAGAACCACCATGCTACTGGATGCAAAAAATAATTTAAACTGTTAAGATGAGCTTTGTTGCAAGGCTGGAATTATTTGCTGATTAAGTTAATAAGCCTAAAACCCTCTTTTACATAGATGACTGCCAAGAAACACATTTGCCCTGAAACCATCAAGATTAGTTGCAACCTTCAAGGTCTTTGAAATTAGTTTCTCTCTTGCCTTGCACCTGTCAACACCTGCAGGCTACCTTCCTCTTTTGGAAAAGTTGAAACTCTGAAGATGACAGTCCAACTTACACTGGCTATGATTCTAAACACCTAAAAGTGCTCATCTCACATAGCTGACCATGTAATACACGCAGACAGACCCTCATCTGTTACAAGAATGAGATCAGAGCAGAACTCGGCATGTAGCACATCACACTAACTGAATCATCCCGTGTGGGAGTCGCTAACAAACGCTGCACATCCTGTCGTATCCTGCTCCAATGGGAACCCTGCAGGCCCAATAAACAGAACATTTGCTGAAATACAGAAGTGCAGTGCAACTACCTAGAAGAAGCCCAGCATATCTGTCTGCAGCAGTTCCATACCCAGCCCTAAATTATCTTGTTACCCAACGCTGTGTATTAAGACCTACACTATCACACTCAGAACTGGCTATAAGAACAGAGGTAAAAAAAATTAAAAAATATGCTGAACATCCGTTCAGGTGAATGTCCAGTCAAGAACCTTATATTAGATGATGCATTTTTAAAGAATCTTAACAGAACTATGATTAAAAACACTTTTTTCTTGAGGACTTTTCATATTGAGAACAAGGTACAAGGTCTTGGATGCACTGCTACAAAAAATAGATACTAAGCATACTAGTTCAGTGGATGCATCATATAAATCAGGCTGACAATTAACACTGTTTAAACTGGCAGATTGACTTCCTATCCAATGCAAGACAGCAGCTTAAGGCAACAGATACCACGTTTTTGTCTTACATTTTACATACAAAAGTAAAGTTTAAAGAAAATAAAATATAGCTCACTTGTTATAACTCTGTTATAATCCATATAGCATAAAACAAGCACAACAAATATTCTGTTAAAGTGCCATGGTTTACATATGACTTGCTATAACTAGTGCCCATTTAATACAGAAAATCAGGCTCACTGGGCAACACACAACTGGAAGTGCACATGCAAATACTTCAACCAACCAGCTCCTCCAGACAGACTAGTGCATCAGATGTGTCAGAACTGAGACTAATGGAAGGAAGCACACACTGATGTGCCTGGACTTGCAGGCTCCTTTCTCAGCACACTATGGCAAACCCAGAAAAGGGCTTAGACAGGAAGACAGAAAGATACTCACTTTTTTAAAAAAAAAAAAAAAAGTTTATACTATAGAGGACAGGATTTCCTACAATTAGCATTAACAAATTTGATTGCTTCAAGTATACTCAAAATTGAGAGATTGTGCAATATAACTGAAAACTTGGGCTGTCTGAAGGATAATTCATGGCCTTCGTTCAAAATCATGTTAAAGACATTACAAGAGCTGCTAAACGAAGTAAGATGGTTAGCTAAATGAAGGCCTCCATTACAGCACTTTGGCTTTACCTTTTTTGACTTAAAGTACTTATGAATTCAATGGAATCCCAAGTATTAAACAATCGAGAAACTCATGACCCATTTTCCACCTTAAAATTTATAAATTACAACTTTAAAATTAAAAACAGACAGCATTTTTACTTTACTTCCTTTTCGCTTTCTCACAGGCCAACACAATTTCTGAAAACAGCTTGATCAACACATTAAAATCCATTCAGTCCCCAAAAATACAACTACTTCATTGCCAGAGCAGTTAAGACATGTGGCCTGCTGTTTTTCTCACAGTAGTTGAAAAACTAGAAACAAAACTAAAATGCACAGGCTTTCAAGATTCCTACAAGATGTTGTTACACTGAAAATTCCCGGTAGCAATTTCTCAAATGGAAATCTTTGAAATACTATGTGCAATAATTACTCATCACAAAACACGTTTGGCTTGTTTCACTAAATGCTTGCCCAGCACTACACAAATTGCTGGTTTGTTTTTATAACCTAGTTTATTTTTCCTGTCCTATTTTAAAATATTTTATGCACACCAATATTTTAAAATATGGATTATAGTAGACATCTCTGTCTCAGCCCAAGCATTAGAGTAAACAGTAGTGAATCAATTTTGCTTGAAGTCAAATGAGAAGTCTTATCTAGAACGAAAACATTTCTGTAGGCATCTTATAAATACCATTAAGTGCAAGAAGTGCACATTATGACAAAAACAAATTACACCCAAGCTCCACCCTGACATTAAAGAATTTACGGGAGCCAAGACAGCCACCCACAAAGACACTAATATACAGTATCAGCATTAAAAGCATCCAGCAGTACGACCTAACTTTGGAGTGGAAGTTTTGCATCAGTATGAACGACCCTCAAGAGGTAAATTTTTAACATTTTTTTCAGGAAGCTTCAGGATATGAAAACTTACATAAAATGTCTTTCATTAATAATTACACAAAAAAACTACTTATGGCTTACTGTTTTCAGATACGTCATACAAAGAAGTGAACTGAATTGCCCAAAAAGTCAAAGAATTTGTCAGTTAACACAGAAAAAACCCTTATTTGCATATACAATCACTAGGGAATACAAGTCATTAATTATGTTCCGATTTCCTTACATTTAGGAACAAACCCTGAAGTCACATACCAGTTTTAATTCACATTTACTTAACAGTTACTTAGGCAAATTCCCCTTTGCTTCCTAGAAGCTTCAATAAATAGGAAATGCAAAACAACTCAGTGAAAACTCAAGTACATTTTCTTCGGTGCAAGAGTTGAAAAATTGTATTGAACATTTTGTAATACTCTTGGCCTACTCATTATGCAGGATGAAGAAAGCAATTCTAGAATTTTGGTAGAAGCTGCTTTAAAAAAAAAAATTTGGACTCAACTTATGAGTTAAAGGTAATTTCTACAGACCTATTTGAACCATACAAGCACTACAGTACAGGTAAATAATGGGAAAGAAATTCATTACGTACTGCTGAAGCCATGGATTAGTGAGCATACTCTGTTTCACATTCTTTCCTTTCTGTAACTGTCTCTATCACAGTATTGAGACCAGTATCTACCACCTTCCCATTAATCTAACATCCCTGTGAGTCGCACTCTCTACACCCCACAACCATTATAAACGCCATCAGCCTCTGTAACAGGCAGACAAAGCCAAAAGAAAGCACATGCTTGCATTCTAATGAACTCTGCAAGACTGGCAGTCTGTGGTAGCTGTAACTACCTGGTACAAGCCAAGAAACTCCCTGGGGTCCTACTGTTTTCGTTACTGATAGTTGATACTTCTCATATTGGAAAGTATTTTTTTTGCGCCCATTTTCTTACCTGTATAATTGACGACTGCAAAGCTGGGAGGAAAATAAAGCAACAGACATTAATATTAGCAGAATTTGTCGGATACTAGTGTTTTCATTTTACCTCTTCACATGCAACTGTGAGCTATGCAACACTTCAAATTATTATAAAAATAAAATTGAAAGGAAAAATCTTTTTAAAGAAACTGCCTATACTTTCTGTAGACTTTCGAGGTCTGCAAACAGGTAAATTATGGATGCAAAGATTTAGCAATCAAATCACACTGAAGTTAAAAAAAACCAACAAACTAAGAATAGAAAGGACAGAAAATGGATTCACTAGGAGATCTATCTTGAGCATGGTCGTACTAAGGCAACGGCCATGCGTCTCTCTGCAAGGCCAGTCAGTAGGTACAGAAAGGGAGAGGAAATGGAAGGGGAAAGCAAAGCAAAGCAAAACTGCAGGTGGTATTTCAGAAGGTAACTGGCAGCATCAGAAAAGCAGCTTAGCTAAGAAGCTGGCAGAAAGGGACCAAATACAAAATGATACTGTGGTAAGACACATGGTCAAGGGCACCCAGCTATCAGACACTCTGCAGTGCGTGTCCAAATTTGTATTTGTGAGTTTACTCATGGCAAGGGGAAGTGGAGGGTGGAGAACAGTTGTCTCTATTGTAAATGTCTGTTAAAAAATAATACAACATATCAGGTTAGAAGATACATTTATACTTGCTACAAACCTCTTGATGGATTTGCTTAAGTCCCTCCAGTGATTTTTCATTGAAATAATACGATATAGATCTGTAAAGGTATAGAAAATTTTTAAGACTGGTTTCCTAATCAGGCTATAATTAATTTTTCTTCCATGACTTTATTGTTCTTTCAAACAGAAAAACAGTAATTTGATTTCCAAATTATGCTCAACAGAAATATGCAATATCTAATTCTAAATATTTCAGCAAATAGTAAGTTATTTCCTTATCATGTAGCAAACTCATTCTTAAAAGACTTAAAAGAATTAGTGTCACTCCCTAACAAAATCATAATCCATATCACACCAATAATGCCTTTCAGCTTAGTTTTCTTTTTGGATTCTAACACGAGATTTTTTCATCAATTTCAAGTATTACCCACTACTAAAAATGCTCTGCATCTTTTTCTCTAACTTTTCAACTTATTTGGAAAGGAAACTCCTAAGATTAACACAAATTCTTTGATAGAAACTGCTGGCAACTACAATTCCTATTTGTGAATAATTAAAGCCATAAAAATCAGCGAACATTTAATATCAGGTATGCAAATTCATCTCAATATATTTAGCTTGTACAAACAATGACAATATTAAATTTGTTAGATGTCACCACTTTAGATACCTTCACATGACTGCAGCAGAATGTTCTCAGAAGTAAAATTAAAAAAGGTTTATCAGAGGGTAATTATCCAACTTCTAGCATGAAAAATTACTCAGAAAGCCTATCTGTTTTTAAAAAATCTATTTCATCTGTGTACATATATCTATGACTTCTGCAGAACTGTATTTATTTTTGGTGAAGTTTGCACCCTGGAACCTTATTTTCCACTGTCTTGACCTTAAACAGTTGCTCATCCCAATTTAAGTCACACTAGTGTAAAATTCTTCTGCTAACCTAACTTCAGATTATAGTTTTTGCAACAAAGATTTTCAACCATTTTTCACAAGTGATTCTTGTGAAAGAAAGAAAAGGTAAATTACTAATTTCTTTAATGACATTAAAGCAAAGGCATCTCCAAATAATTTTGTCAATTATTCTGGCTGTATCACCCATATGTAATATGTGTATGTGCACATACACATACAACTATATAGATATACCTGGACCAGCATTCAGCAGCAACAATTAAATCAGTCCACCTCAACAAGCTACTTGAGGAGCTATTTCTCTAACACTGAAGATGAAAGTCTGTCCCCTCACCAGAAAGACAGAATACTTATGGGAAGGGTGGTTTAATCTACATTTTAATGATAACTTTGAACTCTCCAGGTAAGGCAGCAAATGATCTCACTTTTCTGATGATGAATTTAGACTTAAGTTTATAACATCACTGAATAAAATGTGAAGGCTTGGTATGACTGATCAAAACAAACATTCAATGGAACAGAAGTTCGCTAAGATGGAGATTTCCATAATTACACTCCGGAAGCTTCCAATAGACCAGACATGAAAGGAAAATTTATAGTCAAGATAATCTTGCAGTTATACCTTTTATTCTCTTCTGCTAGCTTACACAGCGCATGGGTGATCTCAGCACAGGCAAGAATTGCCCCATGGCGTGTGTGCAGATCTGTGCCAACAGATAAAGGCAGAAGTCTTGGCAAAACTGAAAAAGATTAAATAATACTTTTTTAAAACAAAGCATAGTGACAGAATCACAGTTCTAAAAGTAAACATGTCTGCCTAGAAAAAACATGGGAAAACTGTTTCTGGATAGCCAGGCCAATATATCCTGGCCATTATGTGAAAAACAAGTTTTAAAAATATACATAAATTCTGAAAAAGCATACTAAACCACACCAAGATATTTTGAACTCACAGCTAGCTCCCTGCTTGGAGTAAATAAAATAACATAATTGCTATTAGGCACTGGTCTGGCTGAGAGGTAAGGGAAATGAGGCTTGTACTTCCACAGAATTTTACTTCCATGTGAACTGGCACCTTCCTGGTCCACTACACGGAGCCTAGGCAAGATTTGTAACTATAGATTCACCCGGGCGTCAGCTCCTGTCTTTCAGCCACACTAGAAAGCAGCCAGTACATCCCCAGAATCTCGAGTGGGCCGAGAAAAGGATCCTGAATTCATGCTAAGAAACATTTGATTACACACACAACGGTCAAAAAGGAATTCTTCTGAAGATGTCAGACTGGACAAGACAAAACAGATCCCCTCACCCTTTACGACATCAAAGCTATATCAGCAAAACAAAAGCTGGGAATTTGAGGGCCAGCCGCCTGAATTGTTGCAGCAGAACTCGCCCATTTATTCATCTCAGAACTGGAAGGGTCCAGTACAGCCAGATGACTAAAGTCCAGTCTCCAGATAGAAAAAGATCTGGCAGCATTTTAGAATTTTTGCATAAAACCTGAAAACTGGTAAAGCTATTAGTGTCACTACAATGTATTAAGTTGCAGGGGAAATTTTAATTTTTAAGTCATGGTGCACGTTTAAGTCTTAATACCTTTTTTGCTACATAAGCTAGAACGCCTGATACAGCACGCTGTGCAGAACTCATTTGTTACCTACCCACATTTGCCATGTACTCAGGAGCCCGTGGAGTAAGGTTATGCAGAGCTTTGGTTGAAACTTCTCGAATAACACTGAAGATGTAAAAAAGCATTTTTAGATTTTTTTGGGTTACCAATTTAGTAGAAGTAATGTATTTTAAAAAATAATGTCAGGAAGGGACTCCCATGCTTGACCAAATTAAAGACTTCGGCAATATTAAAAAATACAATATTCTCTGTCTATCCCATGCTTCCCTCCCTCAAAAAAGGCCAACAAAACAAGAGTGGACCAAACAGACAGCCTACAGCTAGCTTTTAGCTCTGTGAATAGAACTTATTGCTGAAAGAGACAAAGAAAAACCTACGTGTGGATGGTAGAACCTGAGGGCTCATTCTGTGCAGTGGCAGGGACACTACAGTAAACTATTATTATTTCTCATGATGCAAACTAGTATCAGCACTGATATAATCTCATTTGTGTTACATGTACACATTTTAATCTTCATGAACACTGAATATGACTAAGCATCACCTCTATGCATGAAATCTACTTTAATTATGATCATTGGACGGTGATGGTGTTTACCCCTCGCATACACTATACATCATATAAATGTCTTTTATTAATCTATTAACTGATTGAGGTCATGGCATAAAGACAAAATTCATAAACATAAGTGGCAATATGCTAGGGAGGTATAGATGACATCACCTACTACTTGTCCAGTTTTCTTCAGTCAAATGCTATTCCAAACTCTAGTATATGTAAAATAAATGAAAACCATCTAGGAAAGCATGAAATGCAGAACAGTCAATTCCTGGATATTAATAATTAGACTTTATGAACTTACCTATCCCAATGGTTAATCTTCATGTTAACTAAATGATCGATCATTGGCTGTGTATACTCAGGAAAGCCAGCAATATACACGCTGAAAAAGAAATGTCCATAAAGAGAGAGAACAGAATCAACACCTGTGTGCATTTTAACACAAGCACTTCGAAGATTTAAATCCTCTAGGTTTAAAGCAACAACAACAAAAAAATTACTTAAACATGCTTTCTCCTAAATAAGATGCTGCTGAATGAAATAATATATAATATTTTACAATTATTGAAAAAATACAGATCAGTTTTGTAAAATTCCTTCGGATTGTCTATAAACCACTAGACATACAAAAAGCTTGTCAGCAATGAAACACAAAAAAGCCCACATTCCATTCCCATTGTTACACTGTAGACAATGTAGGCGTTTATATTAACTAAGATAATTATTTCCGATTGGAGAAATGTATTAATGACGCAATCCACAGCACACAGTAAAAATAAGTTATAAAAATGTGCTACATCTTCATAAATGCAACGGTCCAAAATTGAATATGGATTTTCAATTTGACCTTTTCGGAAAACAAACATACACAAAAAGTCACTTCTGACAAAAAATGCTAAAACTGTAAAGTCAAGAACTAAGATGAAAGGGAACACCCAAATTCATTACCTAGGTAGCCAGCATAATTACCTAACTTTATAGCCACACTTGCTTTCCAACCTTTACAAGCATCAACTAGTGAAAGCTGAGGTCAATAGAAGCGAAATGTTTTTTTCAGTACATCTGATATTTGTTAAACAATCTTGGAAAGCTAAACAATCAGTAGAATGTGTTTGTGTGAAACAGCATGCACAAAGGGATGAAATTAAGGACACACGGATTACCTTAATTTCAACTTTTCGTATCTTTTGAGTGATTAACTTTGCAACCATAATAGCATCCTATTAATATATATGCGTGTAATTAGAAGCAAAACAAAGACAAAATCCAAATACTGCTGCATGCTACCATACTGGTTTCTATGTAATTCATCAGAAGAGTAGAAATGCTTAAAATCCACAGCACAGTCACTTGAGAGAATACAGGATACAGAAGTACTGTCTACTACTGCTATGAGCCCTAGACGAGAATGTGACATTGGGTTTAAGTGGCTGTTGATGCCAGCAGAGAAATTATAAAATTCATTACTCTTTGGTTCCCTTCCCTTTTCTGAAAGAACATACAATAACAGACACACTTTCCCTGCCATATTTGAGCTCTCTTCTCTCCTTCGTAGTTGCTTTTTGGATCCTAGTTTTAGCACTCCCGCACTCCCCATTTTTTCCAGTCCTTCTAATCGGTATTTTTCTTGCCCAGCCGAAAGTTGATCTCTTGAGCCATGTCTGTAGCCCAATCCCACTTTCAGTTTTTGTTCATAACTATCTTTAACTACAATCCTCATCTTTTGTACTCTAATGCAAGTAAATCTGGATACAAGCGTAGCTTTCCTGATAATGTTGCTGGTAGGATTTTTGGATCCCTCCCTACTCAGCTAAAGAAGCTTCTTCCTTAACTTTGTTTTTACCAAGGCCTGAACTTCTGGAATCACATAATCTCGTTACTCCAAGTTCATACAAAATGAGTTTCCTCTACCTTCCACCCTCAGAAATAGATTATGATACTTGAGTTGAATCCTCCAAAGAGTATCCAGCAAAAAGTATCAAAAAAGGCACCCAGCATGAAAAAATTGCATTAAAAAAATTAGATTTGAAAGGATAAAAGCAACTATTTACACACACATATATATTATATATATATATATACATATACATACACACACACACACATATATAAATTTTATACTGCCTCTCTACAAGAATGTATCATCATTTACTAACCAAAACCAAACTAAACTGTAGAAACCAACACATATTTTCCAAGCTTTTATTGCTCAAAGGAACCTAGTAGCACCAACCTTCACGCCTGCACAGCTTCCTTTCATATAGCGGCATTATGCTGGCATACAAAGTGTCCCAGGATTGTTTTATCTGGGTGGGGGAAGGCTAAAGATCCTAGATCTGGAATAGGAACCTCAAGCAACTTTTTCCAGCAACATAAACAATTACACCACCTTAAGGCATCACGATCAGAAAGTTTCATTCTTCCTACCACATCATAATGATACATGCTTTCTGTGCAGCCAAATATATGCTTAAGCACTTTTCCTTTGATGTCAGTCAGACAAAAATAAGGAAATAATTAAGTATTGACCCAAATAATTACATCCTGCTTGAAGAGCAAAGTGGTAAAGATTTTCAAAAGTAATATAATAAATGAGATGACAAATACTTTACAAAGAAGAGTTTGATTAATAACACCTAATATGGTTTCAAGGAATCATGCCACTAACTGCATAAGTTTAATTATAAAGAATTTACAAATTTATTCTTTCTGTTGCACAACTTAAAGAAAGGCACAAGAGTGAAAGAAAGAAGTCAACAGTAAAAATATTTTTGCTTAGATAAGTAACACTCCTACAAAAGCCCTGAAAATCACAACGGAAGGAGTAGTTGAGCAAATATAAATGAGCATTTGAAAAAAATAAGAATAAATTAACAATTCCGCAGTCAAACAGGAGAACGTAATTAGTCTACAAGCCAAAATTACAAAAGAGATAAAATAAAAACTTTGTCAATTTTGAATATTTTCTATTTTCTACTAGCATAAAAAAAATTCAGAGTTTCAAAGATCCCTCTGATGCTATGTGGATCCAGAGCAGCATCGAATATTGAGCCACGGCATTTCGCCAGCTTGGCTCAGTGGGCGGGAGCTCTGGGGAAGGGTGTATGAGGAGGGTGTGGACCCCAGAAGGAACCCCAGTAGGTAAAAGGTGAAGAGATGCGCCATCTGAAATGCTTATGCACAAAAGGGACAATATGGAGGTGGACAAATTAATTTAATAAAAAAAAAAAAAAGTGGGTGAGACAATAGAGGGTTCCAGTGCAAATTATCTTAAATAACTGCTCATTGGAAGTCACAAAGCTGGCAACAGAGCATAAACCATCATATACCTGTTTGCTATTTCTGTTCCCCAAGAATATAATCTCTCCAAGCTTTTCTAATCTGTTGGCTTCTGAAAAACATGCAACTCCATAGAGCAACTTGACCTACGTTAAAACGGTCTGAATCACCTTCTGTAGGTGCCTGTCTTTGCATTGGCTATGGAGAGAGGCGAGACACCTAGGCGAGACTGTCTGTCTTCGACGACTAAAGCTAGAGCCCAGCCCTCAGTCTTTTTCATCTTCCCATGAGGAAGTGCAATCTTACGTTCCTTTTAGTCATCCTGTGCGCACAGCTTGCCTCTGAATTCCCCTGACTTCAGCTTTATTGCATTTTCAGATAGCTGACCAGAACAGGACAACGTATTCCAGGACAAGCCACTGATTTATAACAGCACCACACCAGTTTCGTATTTCCCATTACATTCTTTACAGACTCCATACTGCAGTGATCACTTTTGTTTTTTCAAACGCTGCATTGCAGTGCATTGCATATGCAATTGCATACTGTGTTTCGATTTTCACTGAGCTATCTGGGAAAACTATAAGCACCCAAGTTAAAGGTCTATGCACAGACCACAACTTGTGCAAAGTATTTTTTTAAGTGGGTATTAGTTTATTTTCTTACCCACCTCAGAGTCTATCTGCCATCATAACGACCTCATCTTTTACTACAACTCTTCAAAATCCCCATCTCTTCTCTTTTCTTGGCCAGCTTAGACAGTTTTGTGACACCTGCAAATATTGCCTCTTGGCTACTTCCTCCATGTAAACAAGGAAATCATGGTCACATTTTCACCATGTCTTACGCATAATAAGCAGTCTGATGCAGAAATAAGAAAAATCAAATTTTAATTTATTCAAAAACAACAGTAATAAACATGATGTTCAGTAAGGTGAAACAATCAGACAAATATTTCATTACGCAAAAAAAGTCACCCATGTTTAGGAAAACTAATGCTTAGAAGCTTACCTTATAGACAGGTAACAGTTAACTCTGTTACCAACAGCAAAGTAATCAGCTGCAGTTAGAATGTCTATGCCGTGTGGAAAAGTGCCCTACAAACATCATAGGGAAGAGGGAAAAAATAAGAAAATATTATTTAAAAATGTAAAATACTTCCCAAATAGGCAACATTATTGAAAATATATCTACTACTGCTCTCTAAGTACTGAAAAAATACAATTTAATTTCTAATTTATAGTAAAATCACTTGCACTAAAGCTATAAAGGTTATCAGACATATGAACAGCAAAAAACCTAGCTTCACTTATGAGTCAATGATAAACAGTCAAAGTAAATAGCAGCAGGTAATAAACTGCAATAGCCATCTTAACACCTTCAAGTCATATCCAAACATGTATTGGATGAATGCGTGACTATGTGTGTACACAAAAAATTATTTCTCTAGAAGAAGGGTTAGGTAAACGTAAATAGGTTTTCAGTTTATGCGAAGGAACAAGTATCTACTGCAAGTTTTTTTAAGTACAAAATCAGAGATTTAGGCACCAAAAAATGCACCTGATGTAGAATGCATGGGAATTCAATTACTTTGTTTCTACTTACAGATATACTTTATTACTTATTTATTAATGAACTAAAAAACTGGGGCTAGTTTGTTCTTAAAAAGAACACTGGTTCCCAGCAAAGCCTGAAACATTGAGTCCTAGAGCAGTATCACCATTCTGACATCACAGGTCAAAAAATTCTGGTTTTAGAAGACAAATTATCTTTCTAAATATGCAATTGCCCCCTAAATTTTTGCCTTTTTATATAATCAATACACTTCAGACATTCAGACTTTTGGTTGGCTGTGACTGGTTTAACATAGTATTATGCAGCAAGTCTGTGTTTTGGAATGGAGGAGGCAGCATAGCTTCCACAAGCCATAATTAAGTACAAATGGAAAACAGCCAACTAAAAGACACTGCACTCACTCACAGAAGGGACAATCATGTGATATTTAAGCAATAAGGCTATGTGGATGTACAGGTTCTGGATATGATGGAGTTTTGTTTGTTTACAGCTCATTCATCCCTTCCACTTTAGGATATAGCCATGCAAAAATAGCAGAAAATAGCTCTAGATCTAAACCTGAATAATTGAAGAAGTATATACTGTGAACAGTGGGAAGCTGTCAGCTACTGTGGAGGTTTTATTCTGGGAAGCAGAATGCCAGCAGTCCAAAAAACCAAGGCCTGGAATCTGACCGAACCAAGGACAGACAGAACATTTATGGCTTGTCCAAGAGACTACCTGCAAGCCTTAATAATGGTGAAATGAATGTACTCTTCTAAAGCCTAATGAAACACTGATTAGAGAGAAAAATGCACACATGAGAAGTAGCTCAGTATGACTGGAGCCAAACAAGACAACACAGAATTAAATGTATAAGAATGCACACTGTACTTAAGGAAAATCACAGCTGAACAATTTCAATCCTAGCTCCTAGTTGGAGCTTGCTATTTATGACTTGGCTGTAAGTGTGCCAGTTTGATGCCATCTCACCGAAGGTTATGGTGCCGCAGTGCATGTCACTGAGACAGCAAAATTACTGAAACCAAGTTCAAGAGTACAGAGGTCATGGCCGAAGGGAGAGACAGATTTCAGAGGAGAAGCTAAAAGTTTCTATTCTGTCAAAACACTTAAAACTTACTTCTCCAATAAAGAAGTTCCTCTTATTAGAGATACATGCATTTCTCATACTTCATGTGTAAAAAAAAAAAAATAAATTCAAATTTTTAAAAGTTTTCATTTACAAGAAGTGTAAGTTACATTGGCTTCTTTTTTCAGAGGCCATAGTAGCAAGCTCTCAGGTTCAGGACATGTTGAATTGCAAAGGTGAAGCAGGCAGGAAGTAGGAAGTAAGCGAGGTCAACTTTTTCCTCCACCTATTTAGTATCAGCAATGTTACTTCAGATGGAGAGTGTGTTTCGGCTCCTTCCAATTCAGAGAATGGGTGTCTCTTTCAACAGATTACATCCAGGTCAAGAACTGCAGAGGGTGTACCCACTGATTAAGTAACCATTTTCCTAGGCAGTGAGGATTGGTTCAGTAAGGAAAATTTCTGAACTTCTGCAGGAACCAACTGAAGACTGATATTGTTCTTCATGCCATGAAAACTTACTACTTTACTGCAAACTCTTCCTTAACAAGCCAACATAAAAGTTGAAATTGTTGGGTGTTCTACCAACACTGACAAATTTGAATCTAGTGTCAAAGAAGAATAAGCAAACTTTCAGGTTCTAAACTAACTTGGACTGTACTCCTCTGATGAAAAACTAAAAAACTCCTCAAAACTTTTGCTACATGGAAGCATTTCAAAAGCTGCTGCATCTAAGAGCCCTATCTCACCTGGAACTGAAGTCACCATAAGATGTTTACTTCTTTCAGTACCTCTCGAAGTGGAATCGGGCAGAGTTACTGTGTGATGAGTAACCTCTCCTGGGCAGTAACGCAGTAACTACAGACCCAGGGAAGAATTACGCTGGCTTCTACTTATCACAGACTTGGTTGGGTCAGGTCACCAGAAATACCTACCCTCTTTCTCCCAGTCTTCTTGTACCCCTTCTCTGCTATTAACCTAATTCTATCTAGAAATACACACACCAATTACAGATACCTTGCCTAATACCCATAGTTCTGAAGGAATAATATCCCAGCTCATAACACAGAGATCTCTGGGAATTCTATCAGGGAAAGCTAGACAGCATTTTAACAAAGATCCCTTAAAAGGTGGCTTACTGATAACAAAATCTGCTTTAACCATGCTCACATGCCCTGCTCTGTCACAAGAATTTACTAACTGAACCATTTACCACCACTTTTTTTTTTCCTTCCAAGTTGTATATTCAGCTTTATTAATTCCTGACGAGAAACCAGGAAACTTTGAAATCTAAGTCTTTACCCTATTTGCTTCTTCTCCAAGGTTGCAAATCAAAGCTGTCTGAGCATTTTAACTACTTAAATTTTGGCAGGTTACACAGGAACCTATCACAATGCTTTTTTCAAAGCACTTGAGTTCCTCCAAAAGTAACAAAGTTCTCAAATGTCTAGATGGCAGCATTATGGTACAAGTAAAACCAAATACTGAGTTGAAGACTCTTAAGTCTAGTTCATTGTTGTATCACCAATCACAGCAAAGACTCTGCAGCACACTTCAGCTGTTCTACTTACTCTATTTCTGATTTCTACTTATTCTATACTTCTACTAAAAACTAGAAAGTCAAATAAAAAAAATTGCATTTTTCCTGCTTTAAGAGCATTGTAGCTTGCCAGGTGTATAATAGCCCTCATAAATGCTGATTTTGCTTTTCAGAATGGTTGAAAATTACCTGACAGCTCATTTTCTTCCAAAACGAGAATACTAAAATCAAACTCTTCTCAGAAAAGTACTCCAAAGAACCTGTTTGCTGATAATGAAAATAATTATTTAGCGACATCCTTCTACTCAATTTCTCCGAAGCCACAGCGTCTAATTTTGATTTTAGGTACTACACGTTTACAGTAACCTCCAAGGCACTAATGAATGAAGTTTCAGGAAAGTTACCATACCTGTCTCCCAACATTCTCCTGGAAGGCAGCCTAAGGAACAGAGAACAAACATACCAAAATGAGGCAGGTTTGCTTTTTGATAAACACCAGATGATGAATTCAAAACACACAACAATATAAATGACCCATGGCTTTTCTTTTTTACATAAAGTAAGCTTTGTCAGTAGAACCAGCCCACAGGGCTTTTTTGTTTCTGCGTCTCTATGTTCTGGTGTTCTTAAAGCTGTATGTTGCATGACAGCAGTTTAAGAATGCAAGTTTATTAAACTAGTCACACCCACAAGAGTGCTTTTGAGTAGTGACACAAGGCTTCACACTGGGATTGAAAGTCAATACCTGTAGACAACAGAAATTAAGACAGCTCACTTCTGTCTGACTACTTCAACAGAACTTGCTAGCACAGGGCAAAGTTTGAGTCTGTCAATGAAAACTTCAGGCAAACAATACTGAGAATGCAATACTTATTTGAAAGACACACATTTGGAAGTATGCCGAAACACTGAAATAAAACCTAAAGACAAAATTCGTGTGTATTTCTTGTGTTTTGCATAAAATTAATTCAAAATCTTGAAAAATGTAACTAATACAATCATAAAGTTAATTTCTCTACTTGTATGGTAAGCAAAATAAAACCTACTTAAATTTTTACTTGCATTTTCTCCTTCTCTCAAGCCAAATTTTTTTTGTTCCATAAAATAACATACAGTCATAATTACTAATAAAAAAATCTGTAAATTTTAACTCTTTTCAGAGAGGAGAGATCTTAATTATCTGGACACTTCTCCTAGGGAATGTCACTCTACCTACAAACACAGATCTCCAGCAATGGACCGCACTTGTCACCTGACAACTATTTAACATACAGGGGGGTGTCCCAATCTTTACTGAAAATGCCACAAGAACTTTGACAGACAGAGCTCCTGCACTTCCTACATAAATACAGTACACATGTGGTAATCCACCTGTAAAAACAAAAGGTTAAGTTAGTTCATCAAGGTATCATACTCTACATATAGAGCAAACACTCCCAGCACATAGGTGAAGCAAGCCCTAATGAAGGCAGTCTCCCAGTGCCTTGCTGAGGTGATGGCTGTGTAGGATAATGCTTGCAGTTCCTGTAGACTTGCCCAGGCTCGTTCAGCTTCTGCTTGCAGCAAAGCCATTGCAGGACACGTAGCACAGGCTGACTCTAAACCACTTACCCACTATCTTGGAGGGTTTCGGAGCCCACCTTAGCCTGCTCGCACTTGCAGCCACGCTGCCAGCTGTGGCCCCAAGCTAACCAGTTTAGCATTGCCTCAGGCAGAGCTGCATGGGCTGTCCTCTGCAGTGGCAGCAGTGTAGATACACCCTTGGGCAACATTTAGAGCAGCCTTCCAGAACAGGAACAGGAGCTGTAGCAATGCCCTACACTTGCAATTTATTGTATGCTGTGGACCAGCTTCTGAGATGGGTTTTTTTTTTTCAATCTACCAACATATACTCCCAGCCAGTGTTTGCCAGGACATTGTTTCATGTTACCCTGTATTATTTATTTATTTTTATTTACACATTAGCTTTAGATTCCCTTTTATGCTATTGAGATTCTTTCGCTCAGCAGAGGGAGGGTTCAGCACAGATGATGCCCTGAACAATTTACAGGAAGACAACCAGGTGATCAGGCCCAGTCAACATGGGTTTATGAAAGGCAGGTCCTGCTCGACTAACCTGATCTCCTTCTATGACAAGGTGACCCACTTGGTGGATGAGGGAAAGGCTGTGGATGTTGTTTACCTGGACTTTAGTAAATGCCTTGACACTGTTTCCCACAGCATTTGCCTGGTGAAACTGGCTGCTTGTGGCTTGGAGGGGCATACTTGCCCCTGGGTAAAAAAACTGGTTGGATGGTCAGGCCCAAAGAGTTGTTGTGAACAGAGTTAAATCCAGTTGGTGGCTGGTCGCAAGTGGTGTTCCCCAGGGCTCAGTACTGGAGCCAGTTATGTTTAAAACTTTTATTAATGATGTGGATAAGGGGATTGACTGCATCATCTGTAAGTTTGCAGAAGACACTAGATTGGGTGGGAGTAGTGATCTTGAGGGAAGAAAAGGTCTGCAGCAGGATGTGGATAGGCTGGATTGATGCGCTGAGGCCAACTGTATGAGCTTCAACAAGGCTCAGTGCTGGGTCCTGCACTTGGGTCACAACAACCCCATGCAGCGCTACAGGCTTGGGGACGAGTGGCTGGAAAGCTGCCTGGTAGAAAAGGACTTGGGAATGCTGGTCAACAGCTGGCTGAACATGAGCCAGCAGTGTGCTCAGGTGACCAAAAAAGCCAATAGCATCCTGCCTGATTGTGTATCAGAAATAGTGTGGCCAGTAGGGAGTGATTGTCCCCGTGTACTCGGCACTGCTGAGGCCACACCTCAAATACTGCATTCAGTTTGGAAAGCTGCCTGGTAGAAAAGGACTTGGGAATGCTGGTCAACAGCTGGCTGAACATGAGCCAGCAGTGTGCTCAGGTGACCAAAAAAGCCAATAGCATCCTGCCTGATTGTGTATCAGAAATAGTGTGGCCAGTAGGGAGTGATTGTCCCCGTGTACTCGGCACTGCTGAGGCCACACCTCAAATACTGCATTCAGTTTTGGGCCCCTCACTACAAGAAAGACATTCAGGTGCCGGAGCATGTCTAAAGAAGAGAAATGAGGCTGGTGAAGGGTCTGAAGCATCAGTCTTATGCAAAGCAGCTGAGGGAACTGGGGTTGTTTAGTCTGGAGAAAAGGAGGCTGAGGGGAGACCTTATCACTCTCTACAACTACCTGAAAGGAGGTGTAGAGAGGTGGTGGCCGGTCTCTTCTCTCAAGTAACAAGCAACAAGACAAAAGGAAACAGCCTCATGTTGCACCATGGGAGGTTTGGATTCGATATTAGTAAACACTTCTTCACTGAAAGGGTTGTCAAGCACTGCAACAGGGTGACCAGACAAGTGGTTGAGTCACCATCCCTGGAGGTATTTAAAAGACAGGGAGATGCGGTGCTTAGGGACAAGCTTTAGTGGAGGACTTGGCAGTGTCAGGTTAACCACTGGACTCAATGATCTTAAAGGTCTTCTCCAACTTAAATGGTTCTATGATTCTAACTACCATATCCAAAGAATTTAACAGTTTAATCACTGCATTACAATTTCTTTTTAAATGTACTGCTCAGACAAGTGCCTTTAAAAATACTAAATCTGTAAAGTCTTTCCTTTTAAATCAGAATATTTGATATCCAAGCAACATAAATCTAGTCTCACACCAGTGAAGGTTGTATTCTACTTACAATACATCTGTAGGCCCAGGACTGAAATATACGGTAGCAAACTCATTGAAAAAAGATGCATACGGGCCTACAGACAATGCTGCAGCAGAACAGCTATTCTACATAAAGATTTGACACACTTTGTTTACTTAGTGTAGGAACTTTAAAATTCCACTGCTGTATCACCGTTCCATTTTTTAACTTGCTTAGAAAAGTGATCATGAAGATCTAAGAAACAGTCCAGCAGCATGGCAAAAATACTTGGCATTCATCTGATACATTCTAAGCATCTAATTTACATGTTAATTTACACCTAATTGGTTAGTTTATCTATAAACAAAAACATACAATTTTAACCACTGCTTACAAGGATAGATATTAGTATTGCCTTACTATATTTGTCAATTATTTCAATTGAATAGCCTTGGAGAAAAAGAATCAGTTTGATTTAGATTCTCATGCTCGTGTTATGAATTCATAATTCTTAAAAAGTACGAAAAGATTTATGGTAATTAGCAAATTCCTGTATACATAGCTCAGTAGCTAGAAAATTTTCCAGTTGCAGAGTAAAACTGTATAGCAACTTGGTTCACAGCTGCTTGCTTAGGTTGAGGGAGGTTTGTATGCATCGCCATGAACCTCTCCTAGCTTCAGCTAAAAGGTGCCTCTTCCACAAACCAGCTTTAATCCAATAATGGGCAAATCCACAATGAAAACCAAGGTATTCAAGCAAAACCAGAAAAATCCCTCAAAAAGAATGTAAAACCAGAACTGTTCTCGGAGAACAGCATCTAATCCCAATTGTAGCAACAAAACTGTGACATGGTAAATTATTTTTCCTGAGTCTGAAGGACTCCATTGAACAGAAAACGTTACATGGGAAACCATCACCACAGTATTTTTCTGTTAAAATTTTGTGAGAGAAAGTAAAATAGAAATACGAAAATAATGAAACAGATAGTCCATTCAAGTGAAAAGGCAATTTTCTAGAGCTTGTTTATTGTTGACAGAATTCCCTCCTTGTACCTTTAGCATATTTTTGTTTCACAGAAGATTTTTCTTCATGATACTCAGATCTTCAATAACTGAAAATGTTACTATTTCAATCATACTTTCAAACAACCGTGAATTTCTAAGAGATGCCAAATACTTCAATTGTTTTGTCATAATAATTTTTCAGTTTTCATACAAACCCCTTCTGAAGATGGAAAAACAGGATGCAAAGATCTTAAAGATGGTATCAGAACCAAGATGACCAACTGACCTTGTCACCTGAATGCTTTGCTTTCCCACAAAAAATGAAAAAATACTAAAATATTTTCTAAGTCATGATTTTAAAAACTATTAACCAACCAATATGAAAAAAAAACAACCCAACCTCTCTTTAAGATGTCAGACCTGAATGGAGCCCAATCCGAGACTACTTATTCATGTGATTACTCCTTATAATGATTATTCATGAAAGAGTTGCAAAACTCAGCTCAGAATGCTTTCGGAGCTTCAAAAGAACAGTCTTGTTTTATTCTCTCTAACCTCAGGGTTCAAAATATCTCTATATGCTATTTTGTTTTAATGGTGTTCTCCATTATAATATATTGCATATTGTAATAGATGGAAAATCTAGTAAAACATGTTGTTTATTTAAGTATGTATTTAATTATAGTAATAATTGAAATAATTAGGACTGCCAGGTATTTTTCTTCAAAACTGTAGTAATGCCTGGTAAACATAAACTATTTCTTTGCCTGCCTTTCTAAAACAAGAAAAAAGATTTCAGTACTTTCATAACTATCCATCAAAACAGCAATTCCAAATTTTGACCAGCTCTAAATTAGAATGTAGTAACGAAAAATATAATTTGACTGAAAATAACTGAATTGCAAAACACTGGTAGCTTGGTTTAAAATAAAAGGGAAAGTGAGAAGAAAATGCACTGTACTTTGTAATCATGGTAGGCTCATTCCACCTGAAAGGATTCTGAAAGAATTCTACTCTACTCGCACTCATTTGAAACATGGAAGCACAGTCTGCACTAAGCTTATAGAATTACTAAATATATCTGGTTTAGCACCATACTTTCTGGTCAAACTACCGGTTTATATTTAAACACAGAAACATAATGAAGATTACACACGACAATTAGATCCAGCCACTAAAGGTGAGCAGTACTCTTGTAGTGGCAACCATGTGAGAAAGAATACTCCTCTTCATATATATTGCCATTGATTCCTAGTACAATTCCTATAGAGCAAGTAAATAATTCACTTCTCACTGTCACTTCTTAATCGTTTGTGCAATGCTCAGGAAAGCAAACCTACTTTTGTTTTCTTTTAAGGATTGTATTTCAATAAAGTTACTTATATTACCCAAGTTGTACAGTTTCTAAACTTTAGGAGTTTAAGTTTGGGGGAAAGTAGCAATGCCAGTAGCAGTGTAGTATGGAGTACTCATTAGTTGTACAGTACGTGAAGAAGACGTTTTATCAGTACTCAGCCTTCCACAGCATCTTAGCTTCCATGCCTTGGTTTTAACCTATTTAGACAATGTGATTTGTGACATGATTACATAAGCAACTGACTCACTTCCCCAGCAATTATGCTGCAGCTTCATTCAACAGCTTAAACTCTCAAGCAGAGGTGTGGCTAGAAAAAATAAGGATGCTATCCAGGTATCCCTGATAAATCCATCTTATGTTTTAAATCTTTCAGCTTTCAAATTTTCAGTCAAGAAATAAGACAGATCTATTTCTGTTAATCCATTTGCATGTTGCAAAGACTTTTTTTTCTTTTTCTGTTTTTTTTTTTTATGCATTCATAGTGACTTTTATCCTTAGGAATAGAGACACCTGGTTCTTTGACAGACGTTGTTTGGTCCTGTGTTTGAGTTCACACAGTTACAGGGCGGGTTTTTTTATATTTGCATAAGAATTTTTTTATCTTTGGAAACAGACAACTCATACTTTTTTTTTCCCCAAGAAAGCAAGTTCAATAAATACAACACACATTCTCAAAGATAAGATGAAAGATGTCCATTCTTCCTTCTTCTTGAACTCTATAATCTCTCCTCCATAAATTCCCTTCTTTTAAGAACAATTACACATACTTTTCAATTCTCAACTGTGTAAATATTTTCTACAGAAAGGTTTCAGAAAATACACTTCCATGTCAGTTCTATTAATTAAATAACAACCTCTGCCTAATGGATTTATCACTTTCTTTTAAAATTTCCCAGTCTTACGGAAAACGTTTTGTAACATTTGCTGATGAGCAACTAGAAAAGTATAACTTCAGAAAACTTACCAGCTCGGTGATTTGAAAAAGATACAGTATTTTTATATTATGAATGACCCTTCTGTCTTTGGTATTGTGACTAGAAAATGCTAAATAGCTCTTTCTTAGATACTTTATCTTATCCATCATGACAACAATACAGTACACTGTGAACTGTGGCCATAAATCAAGATGTGGATCTGTGGATTATATCAATTAAAATCTAAATTCAAACCATACTTCTAAGGATTTAAAAAAGCACTTTTTTGCTCAAAACACAGTATGTTGCTTATATACTATAGTTCTACATAGCTAAGTCTACAAAATATTAAATGAAAACAAAAAATAACAGGAACATGTAAGCTAGAATGTGATAACTTACAGAAGCAGCTCTTCTGCAATTAACATCACGATCAAATACTGCAGCAATAACCAATGCACTGAGGAAATAAAATACAGAGTATTAGTACCAAAAATGTGAGAACAAATGTGTAACACCATCATTTCAACATCTAGACTTCTAAGCAGAATATGCTCCAAGGATCTCATCGTTTATAAATACAAGTCTAATGTAAAATTTGAGCCGAAATAACCATGTACTTCCTTGCTTCTGTAGTTTGCTGTGAACTTGCCATAGCATAAACAGACAACTGCCATCCTACTGTACCAAAGCAATTTAAGAAGTACGCAAACACATTTAACTACATACAAAGCTTTTCTGTTTTAAATGTAGCAGGAGTTAAAACTTGGATGTAACCGTAATCTCTAATGTGAGACTCATACAGTACCATTTTAAATTAAAACTTGGAAATACAGTTTCTCAATAGCCAAATGCACAGTAAGTCTTACGTAAGGCTTAAGCAGAACTAAAATTTAAGCAATGGAAACTCGTAGCTATCTCTGCAGGAACAATCACAACCCGTAAGTAACAGAATGAGAACGTAATATACAAATTCTGCTAAAAAGTGACCTGCAATATAAGTTGCAAGGCAGTTTTTCTTTAAAAGGTGACCTGTAGATACAGAGGCATGATTATACGAAACTATTTCTTTGTGCATGAAGTCTGGTAACTGCACAGTTTAATTCTTCCTCAAAAGAACTGCTTCTAAAAGGCGCGCCACACACAGAAGAGGGAGAATATATCCCAGGACGTGAAGTCTGCAGCTTTAGAAATCCACCTCCAGCATTCAATTAACTCCAGTGACAAATAAACATCACTTCAGGAGAATCATTTAAGCAGAAAATTATTCCTTTCAAACTCTGAAACTCTTCATTACACTACTTATTGACTCCAGGCAAAACAGGAAATAAATACTGGCTGAAAAGTAAATCCATGATAGCTTTGGTTTAGCATAAAGATATTAATTACACTGATAATATCAAACTTCCCTGGGTAGCGGCTATCAGTTTCCTACAGTGAAGAATACTGTGTTGTTTAAAATTCACTGAAATGCACAATCAACACTGCCTCTGTAATTTCAGTTTATCTCCATTAAGGAAAACATGAGCCAGAAAGCAAGAATGAAATGAAAATAAAACCCAATAAATTGCTCTAGAGACAGTTAATGCTTTCTTATTGCTGCCTGCATGAGCAATTCCTCTCTCTGCCACAAAGATATTCAGTGATTATAAGACAAAATGAAGTCATCCAAATGATAGCAATTGGAAGCGCAAATGTTTAGGAAACACTTCACTACGAAGTAACAAACATGGCTAACTTGAAAAAGTGCTGGGTCAAATACCTCATCTTCATGCCATGGTTGCTAATTTTCTTCTCTGGCATACAGAGAAACTGAAAAGTAATTTTAGAAGGACATTTCATAAGTAGATAGTTTTAATTATATGCTTAGCTCCCATAAATTTTTTACAGAAGAGAGCATTCAAAACTAAGGAATTGGTTGCAAATCATCCTGGAAAGCAAAAAGAAATAAATTTCTGCCTGACATTTCTGATTATAGGGACTGTGAGATAAAACATTTACTTTTTCAGTTATGCAATATTTCAATTGTTCTCTTTGGAGAAAGACAAAACAAAAAACCCCTCGTCAAGCCAGGAAGCTCGGAGTGCAGAGTGCTGCCCCTACTGTGTCAAAGTCACCTTGAAGTTAGGTATTACAGAGTATTTCAGGAGAGCTTTGCTGGGTCAGACCGAAATCCTTCCAAGTCATTGTCTTGTCTCTGACAGTGGCTCACTTAGGGATTAATGTTACATACATCCGTACAGGACATCTATATTAACACAGCAATTTGAAAGATTACACAGTCTTTTCAAACTGGAAATGTTAAAAGACTATTGCTGGAGAATCAAACACTGCTCTTTGAATTTCATATTTAGACTTAAAATATAGTTTATTAAATATAATGGAAAATCGTTTCAGGTTATTTTATACAACAGGAGTTTCTGGCCAATATTTCAGCTTATAATCAAAATGTACTTTTCCATTTTTGCTTATTCTTCAGTTACCTTAAGACAACCCTGTATAAGTAAAACCAACAAAACAACATATGTCTATGCGATGCCACCTGAGTTATTCAGTGCTGCAACTGAATGCCATGTTTAGAAAAAACAAAATAAATTTTTAAAAAGGAATTTTGTCATTGGCCCATAACCCTATTATATTAATAAATCATAACTGTAGTTACTGTTTTATGTTAATCCTTTTAATAGAATTATTTTAAACTTATCAAACTACATGATTTTTTTTCCAAGTTAATTCCTATTTGAAAATGCAGGCACAGTCTCCTGTAACCCAGGGATTAGCCAGGAAAGCAACATGTCTAAGATGAAACATGTCTAAGGTGTCTTCACCTGTCTGCTTTGTCGTGGGAGTTTATGTGATACTCCACCAGGATTTCCTAACATAAAGAAACTGTTTGTGTCAAACAAAGTGGAATATTTTTTTAAGCTAGTTAAAGAATCATGTCTTGACTTGCTTGAAGCGTACCACACCTGACTACTAATAGGTAGAGCAAAGAATGGCTTTGCATCTTGCAGTCTCTATGAAACACCTTTTGTAGTTCCTTGAGGTGTATAGAGCCTGTCTATAGCCTGTGTGCACGTCAAGCAGGTAAGCGTACAATAAACACAAATGGACTTCAGAAAGCAAGTTGCAATTCTATCAGCCAACTCACAATTCTCCCATTCTTCCCTATCCCTTCCTCTCTCCTCCAAATACCCACTTAACTGGCCTAAGGGAAAGTTAAAAGGACTCAAACTGTATTACTAGCTCACTTCCTTAGTCCGACACCGATCTCAATACCTTCCTCAGACAAGGCAGAAAGAATCAGAGAGCAGAGGCCGGCCAGGTGACAGACATCAGAACACAGAAAATATCGGAAATATCAGGTTGCTCTCTCCTCATAAGCACCAGCGGTACCAGACAATAAATCTGAATTTCTTTTATCACCTGTAGTGGGTACTTCTAGTCTGTACTAGTCACAGGCACCAAGAAGCTTATCCTACTGCTAACCTCTGAGAATTTGCTACTATTAATTCAAGCGTACCACCCTGAAGTTGTGGGAAGACAAAAAATAAACTCTCAAACCTCTTGCCAATTTGGAACAAAACCAAAATTTCCTTCCTGAGCCCAAAAAAAGGGAAAAGTCTAATCTGCAACAGCACAGAAAACTCTCCTCCCTTCTATACAAAAGGGAAGGGAAGGCATAATCATCATCACAGGCAAAACAGCTTTGAACAATCCAAGCAAGCTGAAAAAGGAGGCAAGACCAGGGTCAGACCCAGCTCTGCTGGGAGCTGCTGCTTCAAACAGCCCTTTCGCACCTCCTCAGTCATACCAATACCCCAACCGGAGGGGCTACATATTGAGCTGGGTCATGAAACCAGACCTAGGCTCAAGTCATTTTTCTTTTGCCTCCCCTCCTTTATTTTTTTTAAACCAGAAAAGCTTCCCCATTCACTTCATCACATGCAGCTGTGCTGCAGGAGCAACGCAGGTGAAGGAGCAAGCAGAAAAGCCTTTCAGACTAATATCTCAAATATAATTTCTCCTGTTTATCTAAGTAAGAAGGTCTGAAAAAAAGAGAAATGCAGTAATCATTCCCACTTCTACACTGCATACTTTCAAAGTCCCCCTAACCCAGCTCACACCAAGCTCTCACATATTCTGCTAGCCACCCAATGCCCTCCACTGTTCAGTGTGCTTCTACGATCCAAAATATTTTGGGGTAAAATTATAAAAGTACAAAAAATAAACATGTAGAAAAAAAGCAATTAAAAAATGCTTAGGACAAGAGTTACAAATGCTGTTATTAAAGAAAAAAAAAACAAAAACCAAACAAAAACACACCAAAAAAAACCAAACAAAAACAAAAAAAATCCCAGGCATATGATGCCCCTGCAGGAAATAACTTTACACAAGTGCAAGAGACAGTAGGCACACAACTCTCTTCTGAAGGCAGCATTCAAATACATAAAAGAAGAAAGCTCTTCTCAATATTTCATCATAGTACAAGATGTAGCTCAAAGCAATGCTTCAGATTTCCCCAATTCTGCAGGACAATCTTGCCCTGGAGCAAGCTACACCATTCACCCATAGCCACACCTTCCTTCCCCCCCACCCCTTGAAAAACAAGGCACCACCGCAGGGAAGACAAAGCCGCCTGCACTCCTACACCGTACGCACTATTTGTGTTAGTATTCCACTGAAGGGAGATAGCAATTAGATCTTTCAAAATAACGATTCACTTATTGATTACCTACACCATCGAAGGACAGATAAATGAAACTACACTCTGACTGCAACAGTTCCAAATAATTAAGATAGCCAGCAACAATTTAATCACTATAATTGTATAATAAAGAAGTAGTATGTTTTCTTTTTATTTTTTGTTTCGGTTTTAAACAAAAGAGCTCAGCTTCTTAGTGTACAGCTGCCACTTCACGGACAGCAACTTCCACACCCAAGGGGGCAGGAATCAAATTACCCCTATTTCCAAGTTATTAAATTATGTTTAACTTTCCTCATAGGTAAGCTTAAAAAGAGAGCGTGCATGTAGGGACTGGGAGAAGGAAAACAAAAATCTCGGTCAAATAGTACTTTTATAAAGATATGCTTGAACAGCAACTTCAGTACATGCATTTCAAAACGTAGTAAGGTTATCCTGCAAGAAAAGTGAAGTTTCATCTAACTTTGCCAAGAATTTCCTTTTTGTGGTCCTGCAGTTTGAATAGATCAGACAAACTTTTAGAAACCAGTTTAACTAGACTTAAAAAAAATAAATAAGCAAATGTGAATAAGTGTATCTTGTTGAAATGTGGATAGAGAAAAAACACTGACATGTAAAAATACAAGCAAGTACTATTAGAAATATTCTTGGGCGAGTATTTCTAATAAATGTTCTCTAACTTTGGTTTGTGCTTGGTTTTTGTTTTGGATTTTTTTTCCTTGAAAGAAGAGTGGTAAGGTCAGGAAGGAAAAGGACTGATCTGTGATCTACAGCAATCTAAGTTTGTAACTTTAATAGTCTGACAATTTCATCACTTTGTGAATGAATATTCATAAGAAAGCAGAGATGCAGCAGCTACCACTGAATATGGAGACAGATATTTCTTTTAAAATACTGTCATAAATTTTACTTAAAAATATTATTTTATGCAGTTTAAGGTGGATTTTCACTAGTCAAAAGTGAAATATTTATGTCCCTTGACTACTGAAAACTCAGAAAACATGATCTTTCCATTACACAGTGACACAACTTTGCAGACAAGCAAAGCGGAAAAACAAAACACCACCACATGACTCCTCTGCTTTAATTTGTAACGACTGTATTACAGTCCGAGTGGGCTGTGGGGCAGGACCCAGTCTAAGCAGCATACTGCTTCCGTATTTCGGTGCTCAAGAGAGTTTCTTGACAAGACACAGTAATATCTGCCAAAGGCCATGGTGTGAAATAGGAAGACACGAGGCAGCTCACAGTTTAACTCAACAGCTCCTGGTCAGCACCAGTTACTCCCTCTATCGTGATGAGAGCCCTGCCTTTCGAGCCCGAGTGCAGTGCCCAGCTACCTATGCTCCAAGGTCAGCGTTACCAGTTAAACAGCAGTGTTACAAACTGTGGATGAAGGATAAACCACCAGCAATTTCTAGCACCAAGACAAAGCAAACAGGTCAGGATTGCAATCACTCACTGCATTTTTAAAAGTAGGCAGTATTTACTTTTCAGGTAAACTATTATTTTTCTATAAGAAAAAGAAAGTTTGTATTCTCTTATAGGCAGATGTTTTTGCTGTGTAATTCAGCTAACCATGGATATTATGTACTTTGTTTCAAGATGCTGAGTTCTGCATTTTTTTCAGGGTAGCAACAATTTGCTTGTGGCTAGAAGTATGACTCTTCTTTAAGTAAAACAGTGACACACCTAAGGCTAGATTTAAAAAAGAGCTGTATGTAATTATCGGCTTGCTGACACAATAGGTGAAACTGTGTGTCATACTTTATTTGAATATTTTTTTTCACCATTTCTCTTTGGAGTGGCAATTCTACCTTCAAGAGCTGGTTATATTTAGAAAAGGTATGGCCAACATAACTACAAAGATTTTTAAGTAAACCCTTAATATAGCATTAATACTTGCTAAAATACTTTGTTAGCTAAGCATATAGAAAGCACAACTCCTTACAACTGTTAATATACAATTTTCATCTTCCCCCTTGCTGTCTACCCTGTGTTCCTCTTACTCCAAACAATTCAGGTTGTTGTAGCTGGCACAGCCACAGGGTTAACTGGTGTTACTACCATAGCTAGAAGTTAGCAAATCTTTTCACTTGACATTTTCCTAAAAACAAAACAAAACAAAACACAGTTTCCAGAACAGTATGAACACTAAAAAATAGGAGCTTCTTCAGAAACATAACCGTCTTCACACCTGTCCACAAGTTTCCACTAACAGGTTTGTGACAGGAAAACAAAATACCACAAACCAAGAAAAATCAAAACGGTGAGCTTGTGTCTAACATACAGAGAACACTGTTTTGCACCATGGAAGGATGAAAGGAGTGAAAGAAATACATTACTCAAAGGATCATGAGCAGAAGAAAAATTCTGATGGACTCAACAGATAGGCTAAACAGAAGACTTACACACTCACACTTAGGCTTTTTTAAGTTTCACAAGGAGCAAGCTTGCCAGACCTTAAAAGAAACCTTAGTTGTTCAGCTAAGTCAGAGGATGGAAGCAGATTTATTTTCATAAGGCTGCTGACCAGATCTACAAAAAGCACCAGTTTTGAACCAGACTTTAGCATTCATATGGCTATACTCATCCTGAACATTTGCTCACAGCGAGAACACGAATGTATTTCTGCGAGTTTAAAGCAAGCAGTAAATAACTCCACACAGTTGACAACAGCCTGCTAGAAACTTTCGTTCACATTCTGGTCATGGTGTCACTGTGTCTTCCTTGCTACCATTACCTGTGCTGGTTAGATTAAAATTAGGAATACAAACCAAGATGTAATCACACGATTATTTCACTGTGCAAAGAGATCTTTAGGTGACTTTATGTTAAGAATTTCATGTTACATGTAATTTACCACAGACTCAGCTAGAAGGGATTTAAATACGATCTTTCAAAATAAAATAATTCTTTAATGAATTACTATGGCAAATGTCTCTATTTCTAGCAAGCTTAACTGAAGCAGGACTATTCTGGAGCACCACACTCTCTTTCTGAAAGTCGTAAGAAACAGTGAATGGCACTATGTTCTAGCACAGCTTGGTGTTACAGGGCTCCTCTCCTTTAGTATCTATGCTATTGTAGGTGAAACATCAAAACAACAAGAAACTGCTTTATTAGAGATGCAAGGCTAAGTTGTCTTAGAATTTTGCCTGCTCACTTCAGAGAAAAGACATGACAGCTTAAAGAAAGAAGCAAAACAGCATTTGGTCTTAAGAAATTTGACAGCAGGTTCTTAGACAGAAAGATTTTATCAAGGTCTCAAAAAGCCCCAGGAGCAAGTACCACACAGATAAGAGAGGTTGTTGTGTGACTGCATTAAAGGTCCAGCACTGGAAATTGAGGATACAAGGATGAAGAACAGCAGAGACCAGCAAGGACACAGTGCACCAGGATCAAGGAATAAGCCCCTAGAAATTGAACCAGATATCCAGGACCATAAATTACTGCATAGTTCAAACTTTTTTTTTCTTTTTAAAGATAATACTAAATGACTGCTGATCAAAATTGCTCTGATGGACACAAAGGTGCCCGAGTTGCTGCTATCAATGGTTGTCCTAAGTCTGCCACCAAACTCTTAGAAGCCACCTCTTTTTGTTTGCAGTGCAAATCACCCATTAAAGGCACCTTGAAATGCGAGCCAGGGTGCTGCCAACAAAAGACTAAATGAGAGAAAAAAGACTAAAAGAGAGAATCCCACAAGCAAATACGACAAAAAAGCAGAAGAAATAAAAAAGGTAAACCCAATTTGTATCTGCAAAAGTTATCATCAGTATTAAAGTGAAAAGCTGCACCAAGTTCTAGTCCACCACTGCAGTATCACAGATTTTGATTTGGAAATATTTTGAAAATTTTACTTTTCAAAGTCTTTTGAAACAGAAACCACAGATTAAAAAAGGACATGCACATGCTTCCATTCAACTGTAAGTAGAATTTAGGACAGTGATCATTCTGGACTGAGATACTCTTTAAAAACAAAAGGTATCAAAAGTAATACGTTCCTAAGAATTCAGAATCACTGTGCAGAGATCAAGTTCTTATCACTTTCAGAAACTGGAAGTGATTTTTATTATTTACTCAAAATACTCTTTGAATTGGAACACTTCAAAATGAAAACTATAAATTGCGTGGCAGAACCAGAAGGCGCTAAAATGGCTATTTAGAGAAAAGCTGAAATGTAGTTTATTCTTTTAGAGCTAAGCTGCTCAACTTGCAAGTTGTGAGCTGGTCAGTAAAGACGTGCCATATTCTCTGCACAACACCCATCTGACAAAGTACCAAAACTCTCAGATCATTAGGACAAGAGTTCATCAGAAAAGGTGAAACTTCTTCCATAAGTTTTCTCTGCTAATATTTCCAGCTCTTTCTGACTCCATAAAGCAACTCCCCAATTTTAGAGTTCTCTACTGCACTAAGGTTCCAAATCTTCCTAAATTTCCTGAATTTGTTTTGCTGAGCTAACCAGACAACAGATGAGACACCCCTGCCCCAAAGCGTCTGCTAAATTCTCTGAATCTTCTTACAGTGAATTTCTTTGGTTTTCCTATGATAGATAAACATGAGGAAATGAAAACGTCACACTTGATAAGGAAATATTTAGATGCATTTCAACCGAAAAAGTTAAAGTGCATCATATCACAACAGGAAGAAATTTTAGACTTCATATTGTTTATGTCACTGTCATCCCACCCATATTCAATTCTTTAACTTAAAATATTCAGCATATCTGTTAGCAAGAATGAATGAACTTTATTTAAAACTATCATAAACAAAAATATCCATTCCTTGAGAAACAATATTCAGAGATCAATGAATTTCCTTTGTGTTATATGGGACACACTAGCTACTTTTTAAGCATGAAGGTATTTCCCCTAAACGGATGTATCACTTTTGGTCAATATGTAATTGGTTAAATGTCTTAAAGACAGAGCATTAGACTCCTAGGTTATAAACTTCTAGATGATACAGAATTAGTCTATTAGATTATCTTGTAGCTCCTTCCTAATTTTGAACAGATCTTAGAAATTAACTGTAAATAGCTCAGTTTCTTATTGCCACAACTTACCTTGAAATCCGATTAATAAATGGTATCAGTTCTGCAGGATCGTAAGCACGAGCGAAGGCCCAGCACACATAGCACGCTGCATCTCTCACATTGGAACCCACGCTGCACGCCCCTCTCTTCTCATCATACGTCAGCGCTTTCAAAATGACAGGAACAACTGTTAAATTTAAAAAGTGTACAAAAGCAACAATTAGGACCATACAGTGAACAACAAAAAAAAGGTATAAGAGCATTCAGTGATCACTGGAGATCAGACAGAGGGTGGAGTTGTGTGTTCTGAAAGAAAAGAAATCATGGCTCTTAACACATGCTACTTTTGAAGCTGATTAGACAGAAGAGCTGCGTTTTTTAATACGCTATTTTGTTTCTTTGTCAGTAGCAATTTTTGTATTTCATTCACATATAATCCAATGAGGATTAAAGCAAGTGGGTTACATAAGAAGTAACATATATATATATATAATTTATTACTCGGGGATACACGTTCAGAAGTCAAAGTAATTTCAAAATGGAAAATATTGAAGTGTCCACTTTTTTAAGTACTGGACTTTAAAATAGCAGCAGCAGTGTCTATCACTAGGAAAAAATATTTCTTAAGAAATGCAGTATTGTAACTACCATAAAATAAAAGAATCAGTATTCATCTACCAGCAAGCAGCATTTATCACAGTAGCACTCCTAATTTGACACTCTCTTCTTAATTAACCATGTTTGTGAATCATCAATGCATTGGTCTTAAAGGGACTTAAGTACAGTTTTTCCATAATCTTTCAGCAAAGTGACACATTTGACATCATTCTTGCATTAAGCAAGTAAGTGGTGATATTATATTCCCCACAGAGCTGTTATTCTGGATTGAGTATGCTTTAGCCAATAAAAGCCTAAAAGCCACAGAGCTCTACTGTATGTCTCAGTGCCACATTTTATTGAAGGAGCTCTGGAGGAAATGCAGTTGCACAGAGCGTAAACCCAGGCTGAGCACTGGAACCACGGGATAACATTGCAGTGGGACAGGAGTAGAATACAGTTTTGGGGATTTTTTTTTTAATCATACTGGGGAAAACAGAGAAGGCAGAGTAGTAAAACAGAAGCAAAGGCAAATGAACATCCCAGAATCTTATCACAAAGGCCTTGTAACACAGGTACTGTTATTATTAGGAAGTGACAAAAAGAAGCTTGGGAAAACAAGTAGATTAAGAATTTCACTTTCACGCTTATATCCTCATCAAAACTGCAGAAGTCAATAATGTTTTTCCGCAGATAAGAGAGCTTCCAAAAACTTAAAGAATTCTCTTACACAGTTGTAGTAATATAGTGCCCCAGTTTAAGAAATCCTATGTGTATGCAAGGCTCTCCAGAGGGCTTTCTTTTGGTATCTGCAAATCCAGATATATAATTTGAATGCCTCTCTCTCTACATGGCATGTCTTTAATAAATGAATAATGTCTGTAAGAACAACAGCCTCTAGGAGGGGAAAAAAAAAAAAGAAAATTTCTCTCTTGATTTTTTTTCTTGTAACAAATTTATCAAATGCATCTATTTTCCTTAGAAAATATTTGTCAAGAGGTGATCCCATTAAACAAGAAATGGGATCACTGAACTGTATTTCATTAGCAAACTGTGCCTGGACATACTTGAGTGGATATAATCATAAAATAATTAAACTTCAATGTACAGTTTATCACTGTATGCCTAGTACTTTAAACAAAAAAAAATACGCATGTCTGGAGAAGGGAAGTGTTAAAATGTCATTTAAATTCATTTTAACCTACTAAAGAAAATAAAGCAGTAATAAGAGGGACGGACAAGGTGTGACTATTAGGAGCATAAGCACTACATGGGGAAAAAAGCAATTCCCATTCAGGAACAATGATAGTAAAGATGGATGGACATTTGGGCACTTCCCAGTTCCGAAACTGCAATAAAAATCTTTAAAAATGTCGACGAGCTTGTTTTGAAAAATGCTGCATCAACTGATGAAAAAAAATGGAATTTGCTGGTTCTACAGAAACACTAAAAGAGACGCCAAAGGCAATTTTGGCAAAGCTCCTGCAAATTTCCTTCAGCACAGGGTGATCACTCAGCTACGTTAGACAGCTGGGAGTGCACTCTCATCTCACTCTGCACTGAGGGGAATGTGGCAGCAGGACCCACAAGCAGCTCCTCACATTTGCATTGTCTGCATAAAAGGAAAACACACATTTTCTCAATTCAGGGAATTAATTTCGCAAATGGTGGGGAAAATACCAAATGGCACCTGGCTTATTTGAGTCAGTCTAAGACAGAGGTGATGCTGCCAGGGGTCTGTGCCAGCAGTAAAATGCCAGGAACAGCAGCACTACCATGCTGAGCAGCTCAAGCCTTCTCCAGTGTCTCACAGCTGGCCTTTGGACTCACTCCTCTTTGATGTCCTACTCCTGTATCTGGGACTCAAAGCATTGCTGCTGCAAGAGAAACAACATGACTGCAACATCTGGAGAGCAAAGGGGGATCATGAAAAGAAAGGACACCTAAGCAGACATTTAGATGGTAGGAGAAAGAGGAAAAAGAAGGTGCAGCAGTAAGGGGCTAAGTCAATATCACTACAACACCAACAAGGGAAATATTGATCTTGACATCATCTGTTAAAGTTTTCTTGCTATCACTGGTCAAGTATTTACTGGTGAACTGTGGACTATGGGAAATACTATATAAAAATTGCCCCTGACAAACGTTCATGTGTTTGAAAAAGTGGATCCAGCATTATATTTCCTGTTGGTATTTAAGAGCCACAAAAATCCAGAAGAAATGCTACCAAAAATTCCAGGCTTCACTTGATTCTTTACCCCAGAGTTCTTCAAAAACAATGCAAGATTCTTCTGCTGTGGCTTCCTGCAGTGTCTGAAGTGCCTGGCTGAAGGAAGCCATGGAGGAGCAGTACAGGCAAAACCATCTGTAGTATTTAGCCCGTTGTAACTGAAATATCTTAGAAAAGATGAACAAGCCTCTTTTATCTAAAAGCAGGAGGCTGGGAGATACAAGGAGCAAGGAGAAAACCTGAATTGCTACTTAACTTTAAAAGTTTACCACTTCTTTCATAGATCTACATTACAAGTTTGCCATTAAAAACAGAGGATAAATACTGTCCACTCTCAAAGTAATTATTAAAACAATATCCACCTGCTCAGGTCTGTGAATGCTCAAGAAAATACAGTCACCTTTCCCTGTAGCCTAGAGGTATTAATAAGCACCTGCTACACTCCACCCTGCCTCACCTAACAACATAACTGCAGGTTGCAACACAGCTCTTTGCTCAAGCCTTGTGAAAATAAAGAAACAGCTTCTGGCTTCAAAGCATTACCACCAACAGATCATTTTTTAAAACTCATACTGGAGACAGGTTGCACAGATATTTTAGTTTTTAAACACAGATTTTAAACAATCAGATGCTCAGTAGCTTTCAGGTGCAGGTGATAGACACTAAGCAACCAGTTCAGTAAATTTATGGAAGACATGGTATACTGAAAGGTCACATGTATGTAAATAAAAAATGCCTCATACTGTTCCTTTAAAAAAGCACCTTTAAAAACATACTTTATACAAACCTAGACTATAGCACACGCCATCAGGAGACCTATGTTAGTTTAACTTCAGGTTGTCTTTTCTATTGCAATGTCTACCATATAAAACATACAAATACAGCACTTAAACAACCAAACAACAAAAACCTGTTCCTTAGCCTTAGGTCTCGTCTCCACAAGCAAACTGCAAAATTTCATGTCAACTCCATTTCACTTAAAACAGATTTTCACTGGACCTGAATTAAGAAATGTCTAAATTTAGTTTAAAACTAAAATATGCCACTCTTAAAACAGATTAAGCTCATGTTACCTCTTAGATATCCAAGTCTTACGTTTTGATACGATCTGTTCATGCAGAGAAGCCTTCTCAATTCATAAGTAATATACTGCAAAACCTTCTATTTTAGAATTACAAAGTACAAGAAAAATTACTACAAAAGATGGACATCTGCTATTACCAAAGGAAGTCATAAGTATCAATACAAAGAATAATAATAGTTATTCTTCAAATATTTCTTCAACAAAACTAACTGATTGCAGAAGTGTCCTTCGGTAGGTTCATCCTCTTGGTGAGCCTCGGGCATAACAAAGTAGTAAACAGCCATATCTGCAGTATGTCAGCTTCCTGTATTTTAAATAGCATGCCTATCACTATCATTCATATGCTAAAATAAGAACTCAGGCTTTTCAGTGTAAAGAATTTCAGATTTGAGACCACATGCTCTTACATGGCACTCTATCCTCTTCTAGAAAAAGAGGCAGGTCATAATTGTAACTTCATTAGGGCTGCTGTACTAATATTTAATATATCAACACAGATGCAAACAGACCATTTCAGGTTAGGCCCATTATCAGGAATAAATGTTTGTTTAAGGTTCTGCCAAACTTGTGTGTTTTGTTCTCATTCTCTATACAACCTGACTACTTCAGAATTTACTCCTAAAGGCCTATATCAAGCAGAGGACAAGTTCACCAATGAGGTTCAGAAAATGCATATGCTTTGTCTATCAAAAAATTCTCAAGATTCCTGTAAATGCTCTGACATCGCACCCTGTAGGGCAAGGGCCTAGAATCTATCACCAGGCAGCCTCTCTCGGTCAAACCACCCAGGTATGACCTAGTTAGGAGTTTGCCAGGGAAGAAGGGAAGCGTATCACAACTCATGCATGCTCAGAAGATAGGGAGAATTTAACAGCTGAAGTCTCTTAAGCCGCCATAACTTTCTCACAATTCTTAACTGACCCACCTATATAAGGCTACATATATATGCATATCGACAAACCAAGTAAGCATTTTCTAACCCATGACTCTGAAGGGCTGTGTCTGTCTGGTTGCAATCTCAGTTCAGTCTCTCACTACGTAATGAATTAAGAGAGTCTTTAATTATATGATCACGTGATATTTTTTTCCATGGACCTATCTCAGTCAGCACACAGGAAAGACCTGCTCTAGCAATGAATCACAGCTGGGCAGCAAAGGAAATGGTTGTCTGCCTTGCTGCTGAGGGAGGAAAATACGTAATGCAAAGACTGGCTTTCCAGCAGAGAAAGGATTGCTGGTTAATGTGGATGTTGCCCTAAAGAACTGCACTCAACCC